AATGTGAAAGATGCAGATTTCCTTGAGGGTGCTGCAGAGTGGGAATTCGAAAAAGTTATTTTCTTAGGACATGACTTCTCTGCAACTTTCCCAAGGTCTTGTAAATGTTATTTTGGAATCTAATGTTTTCGTGTTAATTTGATACAGAGAATTAATTTGTTAATGATAAAATGGAAACAGAAATTTCTAAAGCTTGTTAATTCATTACATTAAAATAAAGTTACTAAAAGTGATCAACACAATTGTTTAAAACAACACATTAAAGTAACAAGTTAGTCATTGCTAAATATATATTTAGCAATGGTGTAGAGTGGTGTAGAGTGACAGAGTGCCACTAATTAATGAGTCCCTCCCTGGATTTTCTGGTTATGTGCCAAGCTACCTGACTAGCACACAATGGAAGATCCAAGCAAGAATTTATTAATTAGTAGCAATTTGCCACCACAAGTTATTGTGTTTTCATTCTGCTGACATATCTGTGCAAGAAGGCATTGGCTAATGTGATGGTTCTTTACTGATTAAGTCAATAAATTTTAAAAAGATTGTTGAAAATTATAACTAATTAGATCAAATTAATTACTTTTTAAATAAATTGTTTCCAAGTCTTGTGATTCTGTTCATTAATTCAGATTCTTCAGTTAAAACAGCTCTGCTGTGTGTTCCCTCCCATCTTCTGAACTAAATGTGAAGTTCAGGAGACTCAGCAGCCTCATACTTGTTGAATAATGCATCCAGATGGATTTGCATGGAAGGAGTTAAGTCACTGTGATGTAATGGCTCTAGACTATTTAAGGCCTTAGTAAGGGCCAGCTTTTTGAAGTGAGTATAGAAATGAAGTCAGAATAACACTTTGATGTGAGTGTTGTTGAACAGTGGGATATATTATAATGATACAGTAATGTGCTGTCAAGTCAGTCCTGATTTATGGTGAGCCTATTCAAGGTTTTTTTAGGTAGAGAATACTCTGAATTGTTTTACCATTCCCTTCTTCTGGGAACACTCTGGGACTGTGCAACTTGCCCAAGGCCACATAGGCTAGCTCTGCTTGCAGGAGGCACGGTGGGGAATCGAACTCCCAACCTCTAGCTCCGCAGCCAGATACCAAAATGAGTGAGCTGTGCTAAATAAAGAATTTTGAAGGGATATAAGCAGGGAAAGACATTATGTCTGCAGAACAAATTAAGAAGAACCCTGCTGGATCAGGCCAAGGGCCCATCTAGTCCAGCTTCCTGTGTCTCACATAAGATATGTCTGGGAGCACCCAAGACAACTTGATGCCTAAATTCTATCTTGTGGTAATGCTTTTAATATACCTACTAAAAAGTCATAAATGTCTATTTTGGAATACCTCACCCCAAATGGCAATCTGGGTATTGTGTTCTGAACCAACAGAAGCTTCTCAACACTTTTCAAAGCTAACTTCATATAAAAGTGCACTTTAGTAACCTATTGTGAATTGAACTGTGGCATGAATGGTAGTGGTCGGTCGTTGTTTCACACTTAGCACACTAGCAGAACTTGCTGAAAAACAGTCCCAACTACTGCCATTACCTGGGCATCCATGGGTGGTCTTGGGTCCAAGAAACATTCTCAAACTGTGTTCCTGATTCTCAAAGGGCAGTTCAGCTTCATTCAAAGCAAGCTGAACCTTGAGCCCTGAATTAGTGAAACATCCAACCAGCAGTACTGTACAGTGGCATTGTCTGGACCATCGTACTGCCACCTCTTAGTGAGGGGCGGAGTTTGTTAATGGCTGCATTTAGAATCGGGTAGGCTTTGCTGTGCTGCTTGCTTCAGGAATTCTGTTATAGGGCATTTCAGATTGCCTTTTTGTTAGTTATGAACTGCTGCTACACATACTCATTCTTTGTAGTTTGCAGAAATGTTCAGTGAGGCAACAAATGTATTAACTCAGTCACTTGCTTAAATCAGGAACATATAATTACTCAGATCATCATGTTCCTTAGTTATGTCAATTATTTTACAGTACACCTACCTTTTTCTGGTGTTGGGGTCCTGAATTTTCATTTGCCATGCTTGCCATGGCACATCCTAGGTGTCCCAAATCCTGGGTGTCCTCTCAGCCTTGGAGGTCATCTCTGTAATTTTGTGGTGCTAGGGAGGCAGTGCAGTTGATGGGATCATTCTTCCCTCACTAGCTGAGGAATATTTTGGTGTATCCTAGCATGTTTCCCTTGGAGGCATGGTGGCAAGCCAATAAGACTCCATCATTCTTTCTTTTTTGAACCTGTGTGTGTGTGTGTGTGTGTGTGGTTCTTTCTTTTTTGAACCTGTGTGTGTGCGCGTGTGTGTGTGTGTGCGTGCGTGTGTGTGCGCGTGCGCACACGCGTGGGGGGGCAGGATCTTTTTACTCTTGGAAAAAATGAACTCCATAGAAAGACAATGAGAATAAAGTCCTGCTTTCTTTTCTAGTTTGGATCTAAAGAGTGTGTGATTGGGAGCATCCTCACAATTATGCTGGGTCTCTAAATCTCTTGGAAGCCCAGGGCAAATGCAGGTAGCCCCCCCCCTTTGTGTTCTAAGAAGGAGAGGAGTTTTGGATTTTATTTTTTTTTTACAAGAAAAGCCCCATACCTGTTTTCCAAGCTTTGAAATTGCAGAGTAAAACAGAAGATTGACTTTGACATTGTTCCATATTTTGAAGATGCAGTGCGAGGTCAGGAACAACTTTAGAGGAGCAGGGCGGAGGGTCATGGTCGCCACAGATATTTGGCCATAAAACTAGTCAAAATTCCAAGTTCTTGTCTTTTCTTCATTATGTCAGAGTGGTGTACTTGGGTTTTCTGTAATTTATTGTACATTCATTCAATGGTCAGGTTCATTCAGACTTAATATCAGCAGTGCTGCAGGATTGAATGCTGCACCCAACTCTCTAAAATAAAGTATCATGCATCAATTACTTTATACCAACTTTTCAAGAGTTAGAGCCTCCTTATCTGCTCTGTTGGTCTTTCCCCTCCTCCCTCCCTGTCTTTCTCTTTCCCCCGCTCTGTTTTCCTTTGCCTTTGAATCATATAGTCATAGAATTGTAGAGCTGGAAGGGACCCCAGAAGTCATCCAGGGCAACTTCTTGCCAAAGCAGTAAATCCACAGTTAAAATACTGTATGCCTGACAGATGGGCCAGACAGTCTTTGTTTACAAAACTCGAATGAAGGAGAGCCCGTTACCTTCTGAGGTTGCTCTGGTCTTTTCACCCTCATGATCCATCCTTCAGCCTTTTCCGGTGCTTAACTCTTGCATGTGTCAGTAAGGTGTTCCTTTTATTTCTCCATTTCACCTTTCTCTCTCAATGGCTTTTAACTACTGTATGTGAAGATTTTGGAAGTATTTCCCATCAAGTGCCACTATATCTTGCAGTTGAAAAGGTGGAAGCTGAGTATCCAGTTGACTTATCCAAGAATAGGAAGATGATTTCCTCCTAAGTCTTATGGTGCCATAAGGAGGGAGCTTTTTCTAGTTATTTTCATGTTCTGAAGTGTATTTTAGAGGAGAAGAAATAATTCCTTAGTGCTGGAACATGATGTAAAAGGCTTGTAGCCAACGTTCCCTCTAAGGTGTTGTGTGTGCACAGAGCTCCATCAGCACCGCACAGCAGCTGCTGGTGTTTCCTTCCAGGTTTCTGATGAACGCCCCCCCCCCCGTGTGCAGTCAGGTGAGGGTTCCGTGCAGTGGGGATAAAAGTTAGAGGGAATGTTGCTGGTAGCTCATTTCTGTGATGCATTCGTTGCGTATGGAGGATTCCAGATTTAACTTGTGGCATTTCTTGTTAGGACTGAAGATGGCTTCTGTCTGGAATCTTGGGGAACTGCTGCCAGTCAGAGTGGATTTGGCCAAACTAGCTGGATCAATGGTCTGACTTGATGTAAAGCCACTCCCCCGTGTTCCTCTGAAAGTACAGGCAATTCTTTATGTACATTTTGTGCATGACAGGTTAAGAGTCCAGATACCAGACTGTAATTAGTAAGTCTTTTTTTGTTTTTAAGAGGAAAAAGCCGTATTGTATTGTGATGTTGGATAGATATGTAGTGACCTTCAAGTAATTACCTGTGGAAGGGGCATTAGGTATGTAGACAGAAGGAGGGAGAGAAAAATTGTCTTTTCACCATGGGTAGCGGTTGGCTTCAGAGGGTTTTCATACCCTAGAGTCTAGTGCTAGGTTTGGGGTCCATGAGGACTGCAGGGGCAAAGGCTGGGTTTAAACTCTCTCAATTCTATTGATGGAGGGAGAACTGTCAGCAGAATTACCTCTTTGGATTCTGACATTCATTGATAATTTGTCATGTATAAATATATGATTTATGCTCTCTTGGTTTGAGATTTTAGATATGAGATTGTCATTGTGTCAATTATATTAATGTTAAATATTTGGCAAACAGTTGGAAATGAATAGGCAGAGGTGATGAAAATGATTCATAGAAGAGTCTTGTTGATATTTCTGAGCAGTAGCTAAGACAACTGTTACTGTCTGTTTGAGTCAAACATCCTATTCTGTTAGAATTCTAGTGGTGTTCTAAGAACTGGCGTCTTGACCTGTAAGAAAGACTTATTCAACAGCATCTTCCCTCATAAGAAATATGAAATAATGGATTATTTTCCTGAAAAGTGGTTTCCTTTTGTTAATATACAATGAAAATACTCTTAAGGGGCAAACCTTATCGATCTCTATCTTGCTATATACTTGATTATAATCAGTGAAATACTTAACTATAAACTGTTGACATGAAAATGTACCCACTTGTACTCACATTTTTGGTTAACTTGTGCAATAGATTTTTCTCTGAAGGAGGTGGAATTGGTTTGTAACCACAAAACAGTTAGATCAATTAGATTTAACACTTGTTCTCTGAGAATGGTTAACTGTATGGATTGTGTACTTATTCTGAACTGATAGTGCTATATAGGACTTGGAATGACTTTGTTCTTGCCCTTGGAGTTTTTTATGGAGGCAAAGGAGAATTAATGTCTTCTTTTTGTTTAGGGTGAGTCATGACTTCAAATTCAGAGCTTGTGGATTCCAAAGCGGAGCTTACTGCTTTACTGGAGCAGTGGGAGAAAGATCATGGCAGTGGACAAGACATGGTTCCGATACTTACGCGGTATGTATTGTTGTTTGGAAGTATATTTACACAGCTAGGTTCTACATATTGAGGTTTTGAGCAGAAAATCATAAAAATGAAAGAAAAAGAAAGATGTAGTTAAAATAGTTCTCCTTGCTGCCATTCCACAAGAATGAGATGTGGCAGTTTTACAGTAACTTACCAGCCTAGGAGCCTGGCTGGATTGCAGTGCTGAGGAGTTCACAGCACAAATGGTTCCCTACTGTCTCCAGTATCCAGGAGACATCCAGCGCTCTGCCTTGCCCAATGAGAGTTGATCTCTTTCAGCCTGTGATGCAAGATATGGTGGACGAAGTGCTTGACCGCTGTTGTGCAGCCACCTCCTCCCTTGACTCTTGCCCGGCCTGGCTAATCAAAGCAGCCAGGCTTACAACAACCGAATGGGCCATGGCAATAATTAATGGGTCTCTCAAGGAGACATTCATTAGGCCCATAAGGAATAAACCAAGTTTGACGGTGGACAGTATTGGCAATTATAGGCCCGTCGCCAATGTTTCTTTCCTAAGCAAATTGGTGGAGAGGGTGGTGGCTGACCAGCTCCAGGCTCTTTTGGATGAAACCAGTGCCCTGGATCCCTTCCAGTCGGGCTTCAGGCCACGCCATGGTACGGAAACGACATTGGTTGCCCTGTTTGATGACCTGCTGAGGGAGGCTGACGGGCAAAATGTCTTTGTTGGTCCTTCTCGCTATCTCAGGGGCCTTCGATACCGTTGACCATGGTATCCTCCTGGGGAGGCTCTCGGTTAGGAATTGGTGGCCAGGTGCTTGCCTGGCTCTGATCCTTCTTGGAGGACCGTCTTCAGAGAGTACAGCTTGGGGAGAGCATTTCGGCCCCGTGGAGCCTTAATTGTGGGGTTCCACAGAGCTTGATTATCTCCCCAATGCTGTTTAATATCTACATGAGGCCGCTGGGTGGGGTCATCAGAGGGTGTGGGGCTTTGTGCCATCAGTACGCTGATGACACCCAGCTCTACATCTCCTTTGTCCAACCACAGTGGATGCCATTCCATCCCTTCAGCGCTGCCTGGAGGCTGTACTGCAAAGGATGCAGGAGAATGGACTGAGGCTGAACCCGGACAAGACAGAGGTCCTGAGGGTGGGTGGCCCCTCCATTGGTGGTTTGGGAAACTCCTTCTCTTTTGGGAGAGTGACTCTCACCACAAAGAGTGATGTTCGCAGCTTGGGGGTCCATCTGGATCTGTCGCTTACCATGGAAACCCAGGTGGCGTCAGTGGTCTGCTCCGCCTATTTCCATCTCTGGTGGATTGCCCCTATCTTGATGTTGGGGCACTCACCACTCTGGTCCATGCACTTGTCGTCTTGTGATTAGACTACTCTAATGCACTCTATGTGGGGTTACCTTTGAGATTGATGCGGAAGCTTCAAATGGTGCAGAATGCAGCGGCCAGACTTCTTAATGGGACAAGAAAATATCAGCATATTTCCCCCACTCTGGCTGCCTTGCGTTGGCTGCCTGTTCATTTCAGCATTGATTTCAAAGTGTTAATGGTGACATATAAAGCCCTAAACGGTTTAGGACCTCAATACCTAGTGGAATGCCTCCTCCCACCTAGATCTGCCCGAATCACTCCTTCTAGCCAGGAAGGGCGGCTGAGGGGCCTAACACTGAGGGTGACCCAGAGAGAAAGAACAAGAAACTGGGCCTTCTTGGCAGTGGCCCCTCGCCTTTGGAACAGTCTGCCCCCAGAGATCTGTCTGGCTCCCTTGCTGGTGTTTTTAAGAGCAAACTTAAGACCTGGCTCTTTAGGCAGGCTTTCCCTCCTGTCATCACTTGAATATTTTCCCCCCATCTTTAACTATATTGCTGTTGTTGTTTTCTATTTTATTATATTGTTTTTAATTTATTTTTTATTGTTAGCCGCCCAGAGTAGATTTTGGTCTAGATGAGCGGGGTATAAATGAATGAATGAATAAATAAATAAATAAATGTTGGACATATGTAGTTGGTCTGTGTGGTTCTTAGCATTGTAGATCTTGTTAGAAAGTGGTGCAGTATCTCAAACTTCCATTCTCTTCCTTGGCTGAATTACCATTGCTCAAGGTAACATCTTGCTTAGCTGCACTGTAATTGGGAGGAAACTTGTGTGAGTGGTTTTGTAATTATTCAATCCTGGAAAAGTTAAAGAGTAGCCTTCTGGGAAGGGGGAGTTAGAATGATACATTTTAAAACTTATTTTCTAGAATGTCAGAATTGATAGAGAAGGAGACAGAAGAGTACCGGAAACGAGATCCAGATCCGTTTGATGATAGGCACCCAGGTAAGATATGATGGGCTCATGTGCAAATTTATGTAAATTCATTCTCATTCGTATGGAGAGCAAGGAAGGTTAACTATAAAGTTGTAAGCTCACATTTATTTCCCAATACTTCATTCTTGGGCCTCATCCAACACTTGACACATTTCAACTGATGTTTTATAGAAATTTTGTTTACATGTTATGGATGCATGTAGGGCAAAAATTGTTGGCACATCCTTTCTCTGGAGGTCCTAGACAGTAGCTGAACTTACATCAATTTACTGGTCCAGATTGATTTATTCAGTTTTGAAGACAATGATTGTATGGCCAATTTCCATACATTACTGGAGTGACAGTGCATGCAACTAAGATATTTTGTTCACACTTTTGGCCCTGATTCTTGCAAAGCTTCTGATACCTCTTTTACTGCTCAAACTGGAAGCCACCTAGAAGATTATTGAGTCAGTGGTAACTAGGTATAAAATGTAATTAAGCTTACATGTATTATGAAAGGCTTGGAATTTGTGATGCTTGTGAGATCTCTTCTGCCACTCAAACCAGAAACAAATTAAGATCATTTGTTTTAAAACATGAGGAATTCTTTATGCTGGAAATGACATGATAACACCATACGTTGTGGTCTAGCTGGGTCTTGCTTTTGGATCAGTATGTTATTGCATAGATTACGTTAATGCAGCAATCTTCTCTTCCTTTTTCTGAATATGTTATGTTTGTGTTATACGCTGTTTGCTTTGATTAGGAGGCTGCGATTAGTCACCAAAAATATTAATTTTAAAAATCTGAAAATCCCAATATTTCCCTTCAGTTGATTTGCAGATGGAAAGTTTTTCCAATACAATAATTAAACGATTAATTAAATTAAAAATCACTAAATTTACATCCCATGAGGTAGTGAGAAAATGAATAACAGTAATAAAATATTAAAAAGTAATGTCTTAATTAAAAAATACATAAAATAGGTGAACTAATACTCAGTTAAAAATACAACAGTAAAATAAACAGAATCTAAACAATTTGTAAATAACTTTTAATAACCCAGTTTGCATTTTGGAGGCTTACCTCAAGAACAAGAGTAGTGGCCATATATAGTCTTCAGTGAGCATTTTTCATGACCTAGGCTTCTTCTGGGTCCTCAGATTCCCCTTCTTTTTTTGCAACTCTCTCCTGAAGCCTGTTTAAGGGGAAATGGACCATCTTTTTATTCTGAGTGAACAAGCTACGAGTTTGAAGGTATTTGTCAATGTTTCAAATCCTCTTGCTTAGTGTAATAAGTTGCAACCAAAATAAGTCAATTGAATCAGTGGAACTTAAGGAGGACTCTCCAGGTCCCCACTGATTCAGGTTGCAACTTATTATGCTAAGCAACGAGATCTCAGCCAATATTTATTTATTTATTTATTTATTTGTTTGTTTGTTTGTTTATTTATTTATTTATTTTATTTTTGGACTTATATACCGCCCCATAGTGCTACAAACACGCTCCGGGCGGTTTACAATTTCATTATACAGGCTACACATTGCCCCCCCAGCAAGCTGGGTACTCATTTTACCGACCTCGGAAAGATAGAAGGCTGAGTCAACCTTGAGCCGGCTACCTGGGATTTGAACCCCAGGTCGTGAGCACAGTTTTAGCTGCAGTACAGCGTTTTAACCACTGAGCCACGAGGCTCTTTTTTTTCCAGTTAGCCATGCATTCTTTCCTTCATGATATTTAAGTGTAAATGCCTAATTGATATTCTTATCCATCACTTTCCAGGTCGGGCGGATCCAAAATGTATGCTTGGTCACTTGCTAAGAATACTTTTCAAGAATGATGATTTCATGAATGCAGTGGGTTTGCCTTTTACATTTATCCATAGATTTGTACCCGGTAGTTAACAGTGTTTCCCATTTCTATTGCTTAGTCATATTTTTGTCTTGAGTAGGAGTGCCCATGGTCTTTGTAGATTTGTAAACAAACAGAAATTCTGTTCTGTAGATTAATTCTTGTAGACTAATTCTGTTCTGAAGGTACAACTAAGTATAACTGATATAGTAATTGGTTTAAGCTTCACTTGTGAATTGTGACAAGAACAGTCTTGGAGGATCTTTTTGTTAAGCTGAATGGTTAACAGTCTGATTTCTGGCACCATGTGTATGGCATAACTTTTGGTAACAACTTTTCTGCTGAAAGTTATAAAGTCAAAGTGGACATTACCTATTTGCTAAGTCACACAACTCTAAGCAACAAATAATGTCTGTGTTGATTTCCTAACTGGCAAAATTTTACTACCGTAAGATATGCCATACATGTTACATCACTAGGATTTTGGCCTGTGTGTACATCTGACACGCCATCTTGAAAAATACTCTTCTATCTTTTCCAGAAACATGCAGTTTGAATTTGATTATGGAAATTAATGTATAATTCATTAATTATATAGCTTGAGAAGATTTGTAGATAACGGCAAATCAATTTAAGTGGGAAAGGCCACAGGCACTTTTCAGCAGTTCCCTGTTTCCCTCATAGTCTTGTGTCATCTGAAAATCTGTTCTGGAGGATTGGGGCACTCTTCAGAACAGATGCTGGGGGCTGCAAAAATTGGGTTTCATTGCCAACAGCAAGAGCTTCTGCTGAAGGGGAGGTTTCTGTTTGTTTGTGACTCAAAAGGTGTCTGAGGATCCAAGTTGTAATAAACCATTCATTTAGAATAAGAAAAACAATCTGAAATATATATTACAATCTAAGATTGTATAGTCAGACTTCTTGGTTCCTCCTCTCCTGTACAGACCAATATTTCTTTAAAAAAGAGAGAGATGACAAGTTTGTTCTACTCTTCACCTCTTCTTAGCTGGTAAATGCTTATGTGATGACAAGCAGAGAACCACCCTTGAATACTGCTGCCTGCCGACTTCTTTTGGACATCATGCCTGGGCTGGAAACTGCTGTTGTCTTTCAGGAGAAGGTATTTGACACATGAAAATATGTAGAGTGCCATTTCACAGCCCCTACTTTCTACTTTCTGTTTTCAGTTACATTGTTTAACTGCAGAATTTTGGATTGTTTGCATCTGGAGCAGTTTTTCTTGTATTTTTGGTGTTTCCATTATGTTATCACTCTGGTCTTTCCAGTGTCTAAAAAGAGAGCTGAAAAGCCAGAAGCCTGCTTTCTAGGATATCTTGGAGTCAAAATAAATGCCTTTCAAATATCTTCACAAAAGACCCTGGCTCACAATGTAATGAGGTGTGCTATCTTGTTTGTTAATAATAATAAAAAAAAATCATTTATTTAATGTATTTATTTAAAATATTTATATGCTACTTTTCTCCTGAAGTATTCAAGTCGGCTTACAACATTAAAAGAAACAAAGTTAAAAACCAAATAATAATTTATTACACTGGATAAAATGATCCATTTAAAAAAATCTCCTTTGCCAACAAGTGATTTTAAAAAGCTTTTTTTTAAAAAAGAAGAATAAAAGAAAAGAAAATCTGAAGGATCTTATGAAATCTCTCTCTCTCTCTCCAATACAACAGCAGTTGTAGAGAATTTTTTTAAGCTGGTATCTTGTCAGGTATTCTAACTGATTAAGAGCTATTTGTTTCATTATTGACTCCTATAGAAAACAACAGAAATACACAGCACTTTTCCAATCAATAACCACCAGCTTTTTAATTAGAGCAGGTCTGTCTGGAACTCATGTAACTTGTTCTTGCCTCTGCAGTTCAGCCTAAGATACAAAGTAAGAGAGAGACTCTGAAAGTTAATAAAGTGTTTCATGTATTTATTGCTTTCTGTTGTAACCATTACCCGTCTTGCAGAGCTCCAAGGGAAGGTAATTTCCAGAATATTTTTACTTTACATAGTTGTACCTTCTGCAAAGATTGGTTGGGAAAAATATATTTCCACAGTTTTATGCATCTTTTACTATGAAGAAGAAACAAGGCAAATTTATTCATTAACCTCAGTGAGGTTTTTAGCTGCCTTCTAGGAAGATTAATACAGTGGTGCCCCGCATAGCGAGGTTAATCCGTTCCGGATTAACCCTCGCTATGTGAAAACATCGCTGTACGGAACGGGGAAAGCCATTGGAACGCATTAAACTTAGTTTAATGCATTCCAATAGGCACCAAAACTCACCGTTCAGCGAAGTTTTCCCATAGCCGGCAGCCATTTTCGTGCCCTCGGTAAGCGAGGGGAGGGTGCGAAAATGCTGCGGGTGGCCATTTCGGGGCTTCCGGCGGCCATTTTGGAGCCGCGGAACAGCTGATCGTCGGGCGTCGCAAATCGAAGATCGGTAAGCGAAACGCTTACCGATCTTCACTATGCGAGTTTTGCCCATAGGGGCCATCGGTATGCGATCGCAAAACCCTAATCGCTATGCGATTTCGTTGTTATATGGTGCGCTCGTTAAGTGAGGCACCACTGTAATATTTTTTGCTTGTGGTGAAAACGGAAATGGCAATGTGTCTCCAAAATTATTTGAAGCTCCACTTGTATAAAAGTAATAGCATGCTGTCAAGTCAATTATGACTTTTGGTGACCCTTTTCAAGGTTTTCTAGGTACAGAATCCTTAGAAGTTGTTTATCATTTCCTTCTGGATATGTCCTGGGATTGTGCAGCTTGCTCAAGGCCACACTGGCTGGCCCTTCTCCTGGGAGGCTCAGCAAGGAATTGAACTCCCAACCTCTGGTTCTGCAGTCAGATACCTAAACCACTAGCCCATCCTTCAAATAGCCCGTTTCCCTGAAAATAAGCCTAAACCTGAAAACAAGCCCTAGTATGATTTTTCAGGATGCGCGTAATATAAGCCCTACCCCAAAAATAAGCCCCAGTTAAGTGAAACCCCACCCTCCACCACTGTGCAACAACCAGAAGGAGATGACATGACTGTATTTGAATAAATGTTGATTGTTGTACATGAAATTAAAATAAAATACCCACTGAAAATAAGCTCTAATGCATTTTTTGTAACAAAAGTTAATATAAGACCCTGTCTTATTTTTGGGGAAACACGGCACAATATGTACCTCTTGAAGACATTTTTGCATGGCACTCTTACATTTTAGGCCCATGATCCAAAGAGGTGATATGTGTTTAGACAAGCGATCTTATGTGCAGACAGAGCTTTCTTTGATTACTTTCCTGAAGCGGTTTTTCTTTGATGAAAGGGTATGTTTTACAGTTTAAGCAGTAACTTCTACGTAACCAGTAGGGATTCTCATATCTGGAAAGCTATGACTCAGGGTGTCTTTTTCACTGTATATTCTTATTGCTACTTCCAAGTGTAGCTATGCTAGCAATTCTGCTTGCTTCTTAGTGGTTCTGATGATAAACCTGAGATGAGAGATTTGTTCAAACAAACAAAAGATAAATTATACTAGTTATATGCTGATATAAATACAGTGTCATCTTTATGGAGTCAATAGAGGTGCTTTAGGATTAATACCGAAAGTTAATCACATTAAATAGTGCTAATTGTTCTGCATGGAAAATGATGACATGCATCCTGGAAGGTAAGATTCCTGAATTCTTGGTAAATTTCATATTTAGTAGTATTGCAGTAGGTTGAACTGTGACATACAGATTATGAAGATTGGAATTTAAAGTCCCTGGTAATACCTGTTCTTCCTCCTGTTTCCCCCCCTCCCCCCATCTAGGAGGGCATAGTTGAAAATCTCTTCAAGTGGGCACGAGAAGCTGATCAGCCATTGAGAACCTATGCAACTGGATTGCTAGGAGGTGCCATGGAAAACCAGGACATTGCTGCGAACTACAGAGATGAGAATTCGCAGCTGGTAATTCTAATGGCAAATATCCCATTGCAAAATAAGGAACGGGAAAATTAGCTGGAATAGAAAACTTTTATGACTTTTACAGGGCTCTTGCTGCACACGTGATTTCAGAAGTATCAGGGAAAGTGGTAACATTGCAGGAAAACTACATTCCTAATGCCAGTGCTTGGAAATGTATAACTAAGCTTTCCTGCATTGGTGAGGGTGGACTAGATGACTCTTACGGTTGTTTACAACCCTACAATTCTGATTGCCACTCGCAGGAATCCCTTAGGAATTCTGAGTATTTTTTGTCCCGAAAGTAGCATTTCTGAGATTGGACTAGTCTGTAGTGAAATTTTCCTGTGAGTTCTTTGGAAATTAGGAAGCAGCTTCATAGCACTATATTTTTTGCTTCCAGCTGGGTGTCACAGGCTACCTGTTTGGTAGCTTTGAATATGGTTGGCACAGTGTGTTTGTCTCAACATTCACATTTGAATTCCGGATTAAATGGGATGATTTATTTTCTTGAGAGAAGTTAAGCACTTGACCACCGAATGAGGCCTAAGGTGGCTATTACTATAAATGTTCTCTTTTTTTAAAAAATCACTAGGTATCAGAACAACTGAAGATTTGGAACAAAGGAAGATGTCAGTAAATTAAGTAAAACAAAGGAAGACAGTAGCTGGTTAAATGGAGATATAGCACCATTAAAATGAATAAGCTTAGTAGGCCAAAGATGTGTGTGTATAAACACTTCAAGGCCTTATGTCAGAAGGTTATTAGAAAACAGGCAATCTCTATATAGGCCCTCTCCTAATCCTGTTTCCCCTGCTTCCTCAGCAGCTAATGGAATAATAATAGTAGACAGTTGTTGATTAATTGAGCTGGATGTCTCCTTCCATGGTCTCATATGGGTCAATGGCATCCTTCAGTCTTGAGAGACTAAGGTAATGTGCTCTGAATAAAGGTCTTGGGACAGCGTCTAGTGTGGCTGAGAAGGCCAATTCGAGAGTGACAATCCCTTCCACACTGAAGACAAATACAATCTCTTCCCTGTCCATCTCCCTGATTTTGCTGGTTTTGGGTCTGTCTCTTTGTCTCAGCCTGCTAGACAAGTGTCTTTTCAAAATGGGAGAGGCCATGATGCACTGCCTGCCTCCAGGCTGAACGCTCAGATGTCAGGATTTCCCAGCTGTTGAGATCCATTTCCAAGGCCTTCAGATCCCGCTTGCAGATATTCTTGTATCGCAGCTGTGGTCTCCCTCTGGGGTGCTTTCCCTGCACTAGCTCTCCATACAGGAGATCTTTTGGAATCTGACCATCAGCCATTCTCACAACATGCCCAAGCCAACGTAGACGTCGCTGTTTCAGTAATGTATACATGCTAAGAATTCCAGCTCATTCTAGGACTACAGTGGTAGAGTGGGGTCTTGACTTATGAACGGTTCGACATATGAATGTTTTGACTTACGAACCGCTCTCATAGGAATATATGGACTTGATTTGCGAACTTAGATTTGAGTTACGAACTCTTTTCTTTCTTTTTTTAAAAAGCTAAGTCATCTTAGGTTAAAAGGAAAAAAGGAAAAAATATCCCCCTCTAGTGGCAGAAGGCAGAATAGCAGCTTCCCATTAGTTTCTATGGACGAAAAGAGCAGATACGGATTAAATGGTTTTCAATGCATTCCTATGGGAAATGCAGATTTGACATAAGAACTTTTCGACCTAAGAACCACCTTCCAATACGGATTAAGTTCTTAAGTCAAGACCCCACTGTACCTTGCAAGACAGTTACCCCTCAAAACGACAAATCCGCATGACACTGACATTTTGTGGCAGCTAATTTGCTTTGCAAAACAGTGATTCCTATGGGGGAATTTCGCTGGACGCTGATTTGGTTCATGCTTTGCGGACCATTTTTTCGCAAAACGACGATTTGAAAACAGCTGATCAGCGGCTTGATCCTTGCAAAACGGTTGTTTTCGGGCCCATTTTTTGCAAGACACTGATTAAAAACAGCTAATCGGTGGTTCGCAAAGCGGCTTTCCTATGGCTGATCTTTGCTAGACAATGACAATTCTTCCCCTTTGGAACGCATTGAACAGGTTTCAGTGCATTCCAGTGGGGAAATGCTTTTCGCTAGACGATGATTTCGCTAAACAGCTATTTCAGTGGAACAGATTATCATCATCTAGCGAGGCTCTATTTGGAACTTTTTCCTGCCAGGTGATACCAAAACTGCGTCAGAGACAATGCATATGGAATGTGTTCAGCTTTCTCTCCTGCTGTGCACAAAGGGTCGAAGACTCACTGCAGTACAGGAGTGTGCTCAGGACACAGGCTCTATACACTATATAGACTCATAGGGGTAGCTTGACTTGAGTGCCTTTATGTGAAAATGATGTCTCTTCTTTGAACAGGTGGCATTTGTACTTCAGCGCTTGCGAGAGCTGCAAGTTCATGAACTGAACACAAAACATGAAAACAAGCGGCCCAGTCCTCGAAAGCTGCCATTGGATCCGCTGCTGCCTCTAGATGAAGAGGCTGTGGACATGGATTATGGGGAGATGGCCGTGGATGGTGAACAGGAGGAAGTTCCGGGGGACATGGAAATCTCCTTTAATCTTGACTCAAACCACAAAACTAGTAGTCGGGTGAACTCTGCCACAAAAAAATCAGGGAAGCCACATGAAAGAGAGAATTTCCGGAAAGCGAAACAAAAACTTGGCTTTTCGTCAGAGCCAGATAAGATGTTTGTTGAACTTTCTAATAGCAGCTGGTCTGAAATGTCTCCGTGGGTAATTGGCACGAACTATAGCTTATATCCTTTGACTCCTGCTATAGAGCAGAGGCTGATCTTGCAATACTTGACTCCCCTAGGAGAATATCAAGAGGTAGGTATAATAAAGGGGAAGGGTGTCTCGGTTCCTTTAATGAAGAAGCTAAATTGTCTTAGGGTTGAATGTCATAATCAAGATGTCTCCTCAGTTGCATACAAAGAGCATGTAAGTGAGAAGATCTTTAGTGAAATTCTGCTTCCTTAATTTATTGTCTTTTGTGTTTTTTTATATTGAAACTAAAGTTCCTCTGTAATAAATGAAGCATATTAGTTATGATTCACTGTTGAAAAGTATTGAAGAGATTTAACAAGGAACTACTGTTTCCCTTTCTTAGTCAGCCGCTTAAAAAGCATCAAGTAAGAAACAATTAGCTGAGCAGTAAGAAATTCAAGGCAGCACTTATCCAGCAAAGATTCCTATTGTTCTCAGTATTTAATTCCATTTAAAGTCTATTGTAAGGAAAAAATTGACCCAGAAGATATAAGCTCACAAAGCTTTCTGAACAAATCCCTTTCTTCTTTTATTAGTTGTTGCCTATATTCATGCAGCTTGGATCAAGAGAGCTGATGATGTTTTATATTGATTTGAAACGGACCAATGATGTGTTACTCACGTTTGAAGCTCTAAAAGTAAGTGGCAGAACAGTGGTCAACTCTTAGCGCTATGCCAGTTATATGTTTTGTGTCAGTAACTGAAGTATGATCTTGTATGTGTTTTAGACTAAGTGGTGCAAAAGTAGCAATTGGTCTTCTGTGATAAATTTACAGTCCTTTTTTTTCCTCACAAGTAAGAAGGTATTGTTTACACAAAATGCTTTTTTCTCCTGATTGCTTTGTCCCTGACTTTCAACACAGTGGTGCCTCGCATAGTGACGTTAATCGGTGCAGCAAAAATCGCTGCTAAGCGATTTAGTCGCTATGTGATTTTAAAAAGCCAATAGGAATGCATTGAAACCCCTTCAATGTGTTCCTATGGGCTTAAAACTGACCTTTAAGCGAAGATCCTTCATACGGCGTCCATTTTCGCTGCCCAGTAAGGGAGGAATCCATCCCTAAACACAGCGGGCAGCCATTTTTTTAACCTGGCAGCCATTTTGGAACCGCCGATCAGCTGTTTTAAAATCGTCGCTTTGCGATGATCGGTAAGCGAAACAGGGAACCGATCATAGCAAAGCGAAAAAAACCCATTCAGACCATCGCAAAGGGATCGCAAAATCTTCATCGCTATGCGATTTTGTCGTTAAACAGGGCGCCCATTAAGCGAGGCACCACTGTACTGTGTTACAGTATTCTAGGTCTGTAGATAGCTAATTGATGGCATAGTCTTCAAGAGTAGGGGAAGTAGAGCTTGATATTGATTCTAATTTTGGGTTTGCCATGATTGATTGCTTGAATGTATTTCTTCACATCTCTATCTTTCATATCCTAAACTTTCAGGTTTTGTCATTAGGGGATGTCATTTTGAAAGCCAGATCATTTTATGATGTTAATAATCCACTGATCTTTAAAGAGACCCAGTTCAGACAGTTGTAGACTAGGAAAGAATTAAAACCTGTGTAGTGTGGTCCCAGGAAAGGCACTATTCACTTACCTTGAGTTGCTCAATCCGTTTTGTGTTGCTACATTCGGAGAGCTTCATTAGACTGCCCTGCCCCCACATTTGTCTTCTTTTCCATTGAAATTAATGGGGCTTAAAATTGCTTTCTCCGAAGCTTCTTCCTATGCTGGGTCCCTGAGATGAGATTGCAGAAGTTTCTGTTTTTGTAGTTACAGAGCTGTGCAAGAAGGAAGTTACTTCCCTTTTTCAGAAGCTTTGTGTGTCTTATCTTGGAAATTTATTAAAATGGCAGGCAAATTCTCTGTTGTTTAAATCCAGTAGTGCCTTGATTTACAAACTTAATCCATCCCAGAAGATGTTCGTAAGTCAAAACATTCATAAATCATATCAACATTTTCCATAGGAACGCTCTGAAACCCAACTAATCCATTCTGGCTGGTTTTTGTTCTTAGGTCGAGGAACGGTTTGTAAGTTGAAGCATTAGTTCCTGTAGGAACTAATGCAAAACTGGTTAATCCGTCCTCTACCACTAGGGGGAGAATTTTTCTTCTTTTAACTTGAGATGAACTTAGTTTAAAAAAAGGGCAGGGAGGGGGGAAGGGAGGGAACAATGGGGAAAAGAGGAAAGAAAAAAAGAAGGTCATCACTGGGGCACTCAGATCCCTCAGACAAAGGTTTGTGCTTTTAAGCACAAAAAGAAAGAAGACAGACAGAGAAAGAGAGAGGACAATGGGGGAGGAGAGAGAGTTTGGAGTCTAAAACACATTTTAAACCCACACATGCTAAACCCACACATTTTACAACAACACATTTTAAACCAAGTAACTTTTAAGCAAAACACATTTTAAAAAAACACACATTTTTAAACCAAAGAGAGGTCACGTAGCTTTAGAGCCCAACAGCCAGACAGACCTTTGCAAAAAGTTTTCTGGTTTTAAAACAACAGCCAGCACGGAAACATAACCCCACCCGCCACGTGACCACGGAAGATTGTCTTCGGACAAACGCTGGCTCTATGGCTTGGAAACGGGGATGAGCACCGCCCCCTAGAGTTGAACACGACTGGACAAAAATTGTCAAGGGGAACCTTTACCTTTTTACAGTACAGTACCAGGGAGTAGGCAGTCTGAAGTCTCTCTCCGTATCCATACACACTAACCACTGGGGCGAGCAAGGTGGCAAACAAGTAGCCTCTTTGCTGGCCGTTAACTGAAAGTTCAATTTTCTTGCCTTCCCCGTGGGTTTTTTCGTTCATAAGTCGAAGCTCTGTTCGCAAGTTGAAGCAAAATTTTGTGAACGGAGCTGTTCATAGCTTGGGACGTTCGTAAGCCAAGGCACCACTGTAAATAGCAATGTTTGTGTACCATTTGAAGATAGAGGTAGAGAAAGAGAGAAAAATAAAGATGGTAATATTTTTGAGCTGTTTGCCTCAGAAAGTGTCATTATACTGTACATTACCATTTTTTGTTCTTGTTGATGGGAGGGAGGTGACAATGGGCATCTTTGGGTGAAGAGAACCACCTCATCTTTCCTTTGTAATTCAGAACAGGCTGCAGAAGGGTGGGGTTTCTCTGTATTGTTGTCTGCTGAAGCTAGCAATTTCCGCATTAACTTTGTGTTTCTTTCCACAGTATTTGGCATCACTGCTTCTCCACAACAAGTTTGCAACAGAGTTTGTGGCTCATGGAGGGGTGCAGAAGCTGTTAGAGATTCCTCGTCCTTCCATGGCAGCTACAGGTGTTTCCATGTGCCTATACTATTTGTCTTACAATCAGGATGCCATGGAAAGGGTAAGAACCCAGCTTGCTAGTGCAGGATGCAAAAGTTTTAAAATGCTTACAGGATCTGTTTACTGTAGGTTCCTTGTTTGGCGAAAACACGTACTGTATCCATATTTCTCATATGGAAGCTGGAACTTGTTCATGATATCCTGATAACTTGATACATCTGGGGTATGGTGGCCTTTCCATGGGATATTATTTCTGATATGCTTTTGGGATAATTCTTAATCAAGAACAGTTTGCCATTAATCATTAGACTGTCAGTAGTCCATCTCAGTTCAGCGGTTGTCCTGAAATTTATTTATTTATTTATTTGATAAAAATATACACCTTAACTGAAAGTTCACTGTCCCCTTTATATCTGTATAGACTGTGCCATTAACATATGTGAGGCAGTTTATGTGTTCTTTTGACTGTATGTGTGAAGGTTCTGGCATTAGTTGAATGGACAGACCTTGCAACCATGGAAATCTGTACTGTATCTCTTTCCAAATTCTTGTGTACCTCAGCAGCTCAGTTTTAAAAGGCATATATAAAGTAAGATGCAGATAATATAATCCATATTATCTGACTGGTACTTTTTCATCCACATACAGCAAGACTCCCTTATCTACGGTTTCAGTATCAGCTGATTTCTTTATCCACACTCTGAAAATATTAAAAATACTAAAAAATATATATTTCTAAAGATGAAGCTACCAGAACTGGCCACTAGAGGGCGTCAGAGACCATGTTATGTATAGAATTTGCTATAATCCACGTTTTTCAGCATCCATGGGGGGAGGGGGCTTGGAATTTGTCCTCGGTGGATACAGGGTTCCAACTGTATATCCACTAGGTTTGACGTTATCTGAAAGACATTGCAAAAATCATTGTGATGCCTCTCAGTTTTTGTGTTGGGGGAGGGCATCCCTTGTCTTTGCTGTTTGGGGGTTGCAAAACAAACCCCAGAGTGAATCTTAGTAACATAACAATACAAATTTATTGCTTTCAAAAGTGGAGAATAGAAATGGGATATTTGTATTTGTCTTCCAGGGGGAGACAAATACAACTATCCCATCTCTAGTGGAGAATCATAACACATACACAGTGTGTCTTAAAAAGGGGCATCCCCTCCTGGGCTTTATCCGGATCCATAATTTGAGAATACTGAATATGAGAGAAGAATCAGTAGGTAGTTCTGCATATATCCCATCAGTACAAAGGGGCATTCAATTTATAAAGAATATTCCTTTCCATCAATGGTGGTAAAAGTTGAGAGTCATTAACATACACACAGTATATGTGCAAAGTGGGTTTCACCAAATAATAAATGCTCTTTTATAATTCCAAGTGGAAAGTTTGAAAGTAGCAAATGAGGATGTGCAAGAATGCGTCTGTCAGGCTGTTTAAGCACTAGGTGATCAGGAAATGTTTTATCTATTATCATGCCTCTGTTTGACCCGAGCCAGAGAATATAAACTTCCATGTCTGCTTTAATGCCTAATTAAATCAAATTAATTTAATGCCCATTTCCACATTTTCTCTCTTCTCCCTGTTTTCTCTGCTCTTAGCTTCTGTACATGTGTTGTATGTGCTCCCATTTAGTGGCTTTGTTTGTTTTCTTCACTAATTGCTTTCTGTCCCTTGATTTATTTATAAACTATGATATTTTTACGCTGACCATCCTCCAAAGAGTAATTGCAGAGACAGGAGTCCAGATAGGCTTCAAGATGTGCACACTGAGTTTGCGAGTGTTTGAATTGTTTGAATGGTCCCGTCTTACAACAATTATTGTCACCTCTCTTTCTGTGACTGTCGTTGGGATTTCTTATTCCGTAGGTCTGCATGCACCCCCACGTGTTATCTGATGTTGTCAACTACACGTTGTGGTTGATGGAGTGCTCTCATGCCTCAGGCTGCTGCCACGCTACCATGTTCTTCTCTATTTGTTTCTCGTTCCGTGCGGTCTTGGAGCTTTTCGATAGGCACGATGGTTTACGACGCCTTGTTAACTTGGTAAGTACCGCAGCTGTTTTGCTTCATAGCTCGAGATACTTTCTTGGAAGCTTTCCTTCTTTTGAAGTGGAAATGGAAGTGAAAGTGGAGTTGGGTGCCACAGGCAGCTGCCGCTTCTTTGCTGGTCGCGTACTGTGTAGTACAGTATTCTAGTTTTTTTCACCACCTGTTAGATACTCTGTTTATCTCAATAGCATGGAGAGAAGGTACAGCGTACACATGTGTTTCTGATAACTTGTCCATTTGGGGACATGTTCTCCTATGTTTCAGAGACTTTCAGGGCTAAATTAGATAATAAGTTAAATATGTGGTGCACATTTTATGATATTTTTTAAAAATGCAGAAGTAAGCATACGTGGCTCTGATCCAGTTCTGGACCCCTGTGTGTAGATTGGGGAGGCTTAAACTGTCCCAGCCAGTTTTAGACCAAAAGTTCCTCTCCTCTGCAAATGCTAAAATGATTGGCAAGTGTGTGTTTGTGTGTCCTCATTCTTGCCACTAGAGTTTTTCTTTAAAAAGAAATCCTGCAAGGAAGAAGTAGAATTTTGACTAGGAGTGGGGAATGTTTGAACCTTTCAGTACTCTCACACAATGGTCCTAATGTGTGGATGGGTAATGCAGTGCCTGTGTCAGTATAGAAAATAAACTAATCGCAAGCTGTGCTTTAGGTTTTTAACATAACATACTGTTTAGTCCTTAGTGAGCTTACTAATGCTAGGAGTAAAGTACCCATAGTGTTTGCTAACATGCTGTTTTGAAAAAAAAAGTTCAGAGAAAGAGCCTTGAGTGTCTGTGGTAATTGATGGTTCATGGAGGTGGATTTTTCACTGTTCATAGCTGGAAGACGGAAAGATGTCTTACTTGATTGACGTTAGCAAACAGATTTAGCTACACAAACATAATAATGGTCTTTATCTATTCTTCTCTCTTTTCCTTATTCAGGCCATCTGGGAATATTGCCCAATAGCTTTCTAAGTGAATATTGATCTTTTGGATAATTAATGAAAAATGAGTCAGCCGTTATTGATTTGTGTGGTCTCTGGTATATTTGTGAGTTTATTTCGTGTTTTTTATGGTTTACAGGATTCCTTTGCCTGAACATAGCTTTCCATGAGTCAAAAAGGAAAGGGTGTGTTTGATAGTATGAATAAAATCATAGCTATTTTTTTTTCTTTTTCATTTTAGATCAGCACTCTTGACATCTTAAACCTGCAGACCCAAGGTGCGCTGTTAAGTGATGATGAGATCTTTGCTAGCCGGCAGACTGGAAAACATACTTGCATGGCCATGCGAAGGTATTTTGAGGCACATCTAGCCATCAAAGTGGAACAAGTGAAACAGTCACTGCAGCGCACAGAGGGTGGAATTCTCATCCACCCACAACCTCCCTACAAGGTGACTATAGTGTGCTTTGTAGAGGTAGATGATGCTCTTGCTGCTGCCACTTTTGTTTTGCAAACAAGCAAAATAATGAGAACAGCAACAAAAAACACAAAAATCTAAGAGAGTGCCATCAATATTCCACGAGCATTCCTTCCTGGAAGACTCGGCTGTTGTCGTTTGTCTATTCTTATAGACCGATTGGCTTCCTGTTCTCTACCATCTTTCTCCTGACATGGGCTGGATGAATGGAGCACGTCCCATCAATTCATGCTCATCTGCCTTGTCTTTGTGTTTGCTTTTGGGCTGTCTCCCTGCTGTGCAAACAATCTTCAATACTGAAAATGATAGATATTAGTCCTACGTCTCCATGTGTTGGTTTCTTGTACCTTCAGGGCTATCATCTTCACAGTGAGATAGGCAGATAAGGTCTTTGCTTAGTTTAGCAAAGAAGGTTTTATTTTCTGAGGAAGATAAAAACCTCAAGTGAACAGGGTAGGAATTTCTCTGTTGTACCACAACATTGGATTCTTCTCTCTCAGAGAGCCACCAAATGTTAGTGTCCAGAATCTTGTTGGAGGAAAACCGTATGGATGAGGGCAGTCCTGCAAGCGGCGTTCCTCTTTGCCTTGCAGTCTGTTATGTTGCTGGGAGCGTGACCGGATTGGTTGTCATTTCCTTTTATCAACTCAGTGTGAGGACCATGACAGACAGGCCTGCTAACAAGTAGGATAGCTTGCACAATTGCACAGGGCAGCAGCATTCTGGACCCTGTTTTATAGTTGCATGTAGACTTTGCTATATTGTCGAGCATTTAGATCTGAGGTTTGTGCTGACAGTGGGAATCATTTGTGGTTTTTATCATCCTGCTGTAAAATTAAGTGCTTTAAATTTTACTTTTAGCATTTTAAAATCTAGTTTTCAGCATTTTTATAGAAACCTGAGTATGTTTGTGGGAAGATAGTTCAGTTTTTTTTTAAAAAAAAGAATAGCAACATATTATGTTTCTTTCTCCTTGCAGGCTTGTTCCTACACACACGAGCAGATTGTGGAGATGATGGAGTTTCTCATAGAGTATGGGCCAGGGCAGTTGTATTGGGATCCAGCAGAGGTCTTTCTCAAATTGTCTTGTGTGCAGCTCATGCTCCAGCTTATTTCCATAGCATGCAACTGGAAGACTTATTATGCTAGGTGAGAGAATGATGCAATATGGCACGATTTTGTAACTCCCCTGTTGCTGATAGTGGCTCTGGTGCCATGTAACCCATGGGCATGGAATATTCCCTTTTTGCCTGTAATATCTGTTTGAACACTGGTTTATGGATTTTACATTTCTCTTGGAGTGTTTCATAGGAATGAAAGTTACCTGTTCTTTGCTTTCATTTGCCAGAAATGATACAGTGCGTTATGCTTTGGATGTTCTGGCCATCCTTACTGTGGTTCCAAAAATCCAGTTACAGTTAGCCGAGGCAGTGGATACGGTGGATGAGGGAGGAACGTCTATTTCCATTGTGGGTATGTATAGCCTAGCCTCTTCATTTGCTTCCTTGATGATTTTACATCATTAGGTACTGAAATCTGCAGTACGTTTTGAGCTTCCTAAAGTTTCTCAAAAGGCCAGCATAAGAACAAACGCCTCAATTTTTAATTTTTCAGTTCTAAGAAAAAGAGACATAACAAAATATTGTACATACTGAAGTAGGAAGGTTACCCTTGCACCTCTCAGTGTTTCCTTTGTCTGCCAGTCTGCCAGTGCATTTGAAGAGAAATAGAATCAATGGGAGCCTTCTATTGTTTTGTGAAACACCTCAAACACTGTTTCTTTCATTCTCTTTTTTCTTTCTGTAATATTTCTTTTCCATAAGAGGGGTATTCCCCCAGCATGAGACCTACATTCCTCTGAATTTCATGCTTGGAAATCAGCAATATATAATATGTAGTAAATATGCTGGGTCAGTGGATCAGTACATTAATATTCCCCCAGCATGAGACCTACATTCTTCTGAATTTCATGCTTGGAAATCAGCAATGTATAATATGCTGGGTCAGTGGATCAGTACATTAGAGAAAGCTGGGCTACTAAATATGAGCCCCAGAATGCGATAACATACTTGAGTATTTTTGTGAGTTGCCTGTTTGCCATTTATTGGATAGTGGGAGCATTGTGGTTGCTGTTATCACAGGGCTTTGTTATATATTGTTTGAGTAACATTAAAATGAGGTGGTGAGGATGTAACAAATGCTTCTCATCCTTAGTGGAAAAGAATATCTTGATATATTGAGGTATCTTCATTAAAAAAAAAAAGACTGTTTGAAGATTTTGTGCTCCTGCATGATGGCAAAAAGACTAGAGAATTTTTTTTTCATTAGCAGCTTCACTGGGCAGCAAAATATGCTTTTTGCAAAGCCACTCCTGTTTTTTTTTCTTGGTTTTTAAAAAACATGGATTTTTTTGCATTAGAAAATTTGTATTTTGTGTAGAAAGAAGGCAGGGTGTTTTTGGTTTTTTGTTTGTTGTGGTTTGGTTTTGCACATAATATTTTGGTGTAAAAAACCCTCCCACCTCTATAAATTTTTCACAAAAAAGCCATGAGATGGAAGGGGGGGGGAGAGACAGAAAAATCTGCATAATCTTATCCAGTGACGACTACACTCTCTCTCTCTCTCTCTCTCTCTGAGCCCCAGAATGCGATAACATACTTGAGTATTTTTGTGAGTTGCCTGTTTGCCATTTATTGGATAGTGGGAGCATTGTGGTTGCTGTTATCACAGGGCTTTGTTGTATATTGTTTGAGTAACATTAAAATGAGGTGGTGAGGATGTAACAAATGCTTCTCATCCTTAGTGGAAAAGAATATCTTGATATATTGAGGTATCTTCATTAAAAAAAAAAAGACTGTTTGAAGATTTTGTGCTCCTGCATGATGGCAAAAAGACTAGAGAATTTTTTTTTCATTAGCAGCTTCACTGGGCAGCAAAATATGCTTTTTGCAAAGCCACTCCTGTTTTTTTTTCTTGGTTTTTAAAAAACATGGATTTTTTTGCATTAGAAAATTTGTATTTTGTGTAGAAAGAAGGCAGGGTGTTTTTGGTTTTTTGTTTGTTGTGGTTTGGTTTTGCACATAATATTTTGGTGTAAAAAACCCTCCCACCTCTATAAATATTTCACAAAAAAGCCATGAGATGGGGACCCCCCCCCCACACACCCCTTTAAAACCTTTTTATTCTGAGAATTCTTTGAGAACGGAGTAAATGAATAGATATATCTCAGGAAAATGTGCATGTGTGAAAACTTGGGAGTTTCACTGTCTTCTGATCTGTGTCAGATTTGACATTTAAAAACAATCACTTTGCTGGCCAGTCTTATGGGTCCTTTATTGTCCTGTAATGGATCAGAATGGGTGGGAGAAGGGTGGCCCACAAACCACATGTGGCCCAAAAGAAAGTGTCTATACTGCCTTGGACCTCTCTCAGCTCCTCCCAGGATAAAAGTAGACCATGCAGAGTCCCCCCCAATCAATCAGAGCAGCAATGGTGACACTCTTGCTTGTAAAATCTGTGACCCAACTTGTCCCTTACAGAACACTTCCTTTTATTTTTTATTTTTTTGTTTTAGGTATCAGCATCATCCTAGGACTTGCTGAAGGTGAATTCTTTATTCATGATGCTGAGATCCAGAAATCAGCTCTTCAGATCATCATTAACTGTGTGTGTGGGCCAGATAACCGCATTTCCAGCATTGGCAAATTCATTTCTGGCACTCCTCGACGGGCCCTCCCACAGGTGCCTAGGAGCAGTGAACACACCTTGGCCAAGATGTGGAATGTGGTCCAGTCCAATAATGGCATCAAAGTTCTGCTGTCCTTGCTGTCCGTCAAGATGCCCATTACGGATGCAGACCAGATCCGAGCACTGGCCTGCAAAGCTTTGGTTGGGTTGTCCAGGAGCAGCACGGTCCGGCAGATCATCAGCAAGTTGCCCCTCTTCAGCAGCTGCCAGATCCAGCAGTTGATGAAGGAGCCCGTGCTTCAAGACAAGCGCAGTGAACACGTCAAGTTCTGCAAGTATGCGGCTGAGCTGATAGAGCGGGTCTCAGGAAAACCCTTGCTGATTGGGACCGATGTCTCCCTGGCTCGACTCCAGAAGGCAGACGTGGTGGCTCAGTCGAGGATCTCCTTTCCCGAGAAGGAGCTGCTGCTTTTGATCAGGAACCACCTCATCTCTAAAGGGCTTGGGGAAACGGCAACTGTCCTCACGAAGGAAGCAGATTTACCTATGACGGCAGCTTCTCATTCCTCTGCCTTCACGCCAGTTCCAGCCGCTGCCTCCCCCGTGACTCTGCCTCGTACTCCTCGTATAGCAAATGGCATTTCAGCCCGGTTGACTAGCCACCCTGCTGTGGGCTCCAGCGCTGCTTCTGTCCATGCCCAGCAGAGGCCCACTGCTTGCCAGGGCTCGCTTGCACTCCCAGGCCCATCTCATGCCTCCAGTTCCCCTGTGATTGGCAGGATTAGTTTCATCCGAGAGAGGCCGTCTCCTTGCAACGGCAGGAAAATCCGAGTTCTTCGGCAAAAATCAGACCATGGTGCCTACAGTCAGAGCCCTGCCATCAAAAAACAGCTAGACCGGCATCTCCCTTCACCACCCACGCTGGACAGTATAATCACAGAGTACCTTAGGGAGCAGCATGCTCGCTGCAAGAACCCTGTGGCCACTTGTCCCCCCTTTTCTCTTTTTACACCCCACCAGTGTCCTGAGCCAAAACAGAGGCGCCAAGCGCCAACTAACTTTACCTCGCGGCTTACCCGCAGGGCAGCATTTCCAAAGTATGGCGGGGTGGATGGTGGATGCTTTGATAGACACCTTATCTTCAGCAGGTAAGAAAGATCATTTCATTTCTGGAATTCCTATAGGATATTTTCATCCAAGCAGTATAAAAGTGGATCCTGTTACCAGGCTGCAGTTTGAACAAAAGCTACAGTGCTTCAGTGGCTACTCAGAATATCTCCCTAGGTCCATTGCTTGTTTTTCTTTCTTTACTGACAGTTACCTGCATTATTTTCTCTGTGTTGAGCTTTTATGAAACCATGTCTTAAGAATAATGCTGAAGCTGAGGCTTCCATCCACAGCGCAGGCTGTCAAGTGCATTTTCAAGCTCAGCTGTCTTCAGGCATATCTTTGTTCTTGTTTTCCCCTCACATAACATTCCCCTTTCTCTCTCTCTCAGGTTCCGTCCAATTTCAGTGTTCCGAGAAGCAAATGAAGATGAAAGTGGTTTTACATGTTGTGCATTCTCTGCGCGGGAGCGATTCCTTATGTTGGGCACTTGCACGGGACACCTAAAACTCTACAATGTCTTTAGTGGGCAGGAGGAGGCCAGCTATAAGTGCCACAACACTGCCATCACACACCTTGAGCCATCCAGGGTAAGGAAAGCATCAAGAATGCTGAGGTTAATGTTAATAGGGCATGGTGGGTAACTGTTCTTAATTGTGGAAATCTAGTCTTCCTGAATGGGTAGAGTTAAGACAGAGCAGTGTATTATCTTCTGCATTGTAGGTTTATAGAGGAAATGGATTTGGGGGCCAGTTTTTAAGATATTGAGGTAATGGCTTCTGAAAACCAGCCCCTGCTGGCAAAGCACTGGCCATTTTTCTCAGGTCTTTGTTCTCTGATAATTACCAAAGGATCATGTTAAATTCTTCCATTTGAAATAGCTGCTTGACCCAATGAGCCAAGCATATGGGCCTAAATCCTGTTCTTTGTTCTGGTTACATTGGACCCACTGAGTCAATAAAATTTGCATAATTGCTGATTTACTATATTCCCTTTCATTCAGTGGGTCAACTTTAGTTGACACTGACTGTTAGGTACAGGGCATGATAGCTGGCTGTGTGATCAACATGGTTCTATTGGTTCTTTAATTAATAATATAGCACTAATGGCATAACAAGCTGTGCTGTTAGTTTCTGAGGAGTTCGTCTAACGCGCTCTGCATCCATCAGTATAACAGTGTATAACATTAGCAGTACATACAGGTGTATAACAAGAATATACTTTGGTTTCTCTGTGTTGTTTCCCCTAAACCACAGGATGGCTCTTTGTTGTTGACATCTGCTTCATGGGGCCAGCCTCTTTCTGCCTTGTGGGGAATGAAGTCTGTCTTTGAAACCAAGTATGTATGTTTTTTACAAGGAATCTCCAAGGTATTTTATATACTGTAGAAATTATTCAAGTGCATAATGAGTTAATGATGGAAAAGTAATACTTGCTTTAGAAGTTGAGATTGGGTTTTATTCATAGTAGGGAGGGAATTGGCTAGATATTGCTGTTAGTTCTGGAACTAGTATTCTGTACTGTGCGATTGAGTTTAATGCGTTTGATGATGGTATATAAACGTGCAGAGAATAATGCTTGAAAAGGTTTTCCTTCAATGTTCTGCTGCTCATCCTGTATTTGGTTCTCCTGTGCAGGCATTCCTTCACAGATGATCACTATGTGGAGTTCAGCAAGCTCTCTCAGGATAGGGTTATTGGCACAAAGGGGGACATTGCCCATGTAAGTATCAGCACCACATATCTGAAATCAGTGCAACATTTCTTGTGTGGTCTTCTTAAAGCAGCAGGTGAATGAACAAGGAATGTTGGCGTGGATTTTGAGACCCTGTGAGAAGGCCTCCAGTCATGGGATTCTCTTTGTTGGGAGAAGGGTGGGGACAGGGAGATGATTTTCCCTAGTTCGTTCTGCCTCTCCATGAAAATGTGCTCCGGAAGGGTTTGGAACCCCAGGCATACAAGATGAACCCTCCAAAACAGTGTGGGGGGTGGTGTAGGGCAGGGGTCCCTAACCCCTGGTCGCCGGCCCGGTGTCAGTCCGTGGGCTTCTCGGAATTGGGCCACAGAAACAGATATCCGCCCACCTGCCCGGAGGGCGTGTCGCACTCGGGGGGCATGTTGTACTCGTGCAGGGGTGTGTCGCGCTTGCGCAGGGGTATGTCATGCTTGCATGTGAGCATGACATGTCCCCTGTATGAGCGTGGGTTGCCCCCACCCCATCGCACACGGAGCCCTCCCTCCCAACTGGTCCGCGGCCCCAAAAAGGTTGGAGCCTGCTGGTGTAGGGAACGGAGTTGGAGGTTGATAAAAATCACTACGCCTTTCCTCCAGCAGGAGCCTCCAGTGACTCTCAGGCCCTTCTACTTTCTCAGGTGATACTTTGGATCCAACCCTGTAATTTTAACACAGCGTTTCTATCTCAACAGTATAGAACAGTGAAATCTCTGTTCTGAAGGGTCAGGAACAATCTGCAGGTGGCAGAGGGAAGCCTATTTGGTGTCAGTGGTTTTCTGCCGTGGAAAAAGGAAATACTCTCACAATGGAGTGAACTATTCAAATTCTTGATTTTCCTTGCCCTTTTGTTGATTTTCCTACATGTTTGCATTTACACAAAGCATCTTCCTCTACTGCCTTGCTGGTGCTTCTGATAGCCTCTGAGGGAAATTTGATCTTCCCTCGTGTTCTGGTAATTTGTGAGGCAGCACGCTAAGAACATTTATTCTTAGCTTTAGCAAAGGGAAATCAATATCACAGGGAACCAGCAAATGAAATGTATCTGATAAAAGGGTAAAGGAAACAAATTCAAATACTCAGATTAAGAAGGTTGGGACTGCTTCCCACTTTAAGTGTCAATATCAGAGAAAATGAATCCGTGAAATGCTTCCTGGTATTTATGTCAGGATGCTAACCTTCTTCACTTTGGCATTGTGAAGCTTTCTCCACAACGGGTCATGAAATTATTTTATGATGACCTCTTCATCATGTAAGCAACTGTGCTTAGTAATTACCCTTTTCTTTAAAAGGCCACAAACAGAGAGTTCAAAGTAAATTTTCACCGTAGCAATTCATATAGTTCGGCAGCCTATAAAGAACTATTATCAAGCAGTGAGAGGAGTGGCTTTGTTAGAGCGGGATTATTCTGCTTGAGGGTGTAGTGCTTTAGAACAGAGGTCCCCAAACCCCGGCCCAGTGCTGGTTCATAGGCTGAGCCGGACCAGGCCAGGGAGACAGACACCCCCCCCATGCTCGCCCCTCCTCACAGCTGCTTTGCGCATGCGTGTGTGCCAGTGCCAGCGTGAACACTACCCCACCCCTTCACGCAAGCGCCCAAGAGCGCACATGCAGGGGGGTGCCCTGCCTTCCTCAGAGGCTCAGCCGGTCTGCAATCCCAAAAAGGTTGGGGACCGCTGCTTTAGAAGACTGCTCACCTAATTTGTAGACGTTTCATTGTGGGCTGGGAGATTCCTCAGACTTCACTTGGAGAAATAAAAAATATATTCCTACATAGAAACAAAATATGTCAATTGCAGGTATTATTATTTATATATGTGTCTTCAGTGATGTGCAAAACACAACAAAGCTTCTCTTGCTATCTTAAAAATAATAACTTTATTGTGGAACAGATTTTTGTAGACTAGAGTCAATCAGTTAAAACAAAGTCTAGTTTGTGATACTTAGTATCTTCATCACTGTTTTAGTTTTGATATGCTGTAAGAGTCTTTGCTGCTTTTCTTGGAGCAAATTAACGTGGCTACTGCTCTGAAAGGGCTGCATCATGGCCATTGTTCAGAAAGCTAGCCACCACAGCATCTTGATAAAATAAAATTTAGCTTGCCACTTAACAGTGGGTGATTGTTGCCATTTCTGCCCAGCGTTTTCTCACTATGCTATGGTTCTTCTTGAAGATGGCAGAGGTTTGCAGGGAAAAGGAAGCCCAGAGATTTGTTAAGGCTTAGTTAAAGTCAGTTCCATTTGAGAGTTACGAAGGGAAGAGTTCAGCTCTTAAACCTGTAAGGTTCCTGCTGCTTGTTTGATAGCATGGGGGCCAAAGAAATTAAAAAGTTTTATAAAGCACATAAGAATAAGAAAAACGTAGCGCTTTGAAAAAAAGGAGGCAGGCAGTAAAAGAGAATAATTCTGTTGACTTATAATAATCTTCGAACTGCAGAACCGGAAGGGATCCTCTGGCTCATCAAGTCCAGCCCTTATTAAGGGAGGCACAGCAGGGAATCAAACACCCAATGTCTGGCTTCCCAGTCAGACGCCTAAACCACTGAACTATCCAGTTTCCTAAGGCAGCAAATGGAATTTTAGCAGACTTGTACATTTATGATAAACTTACTAAGTGATTGTGTTACTAAAAATAAAGTTCAAAAGCCATTTTTGTTTTTTTGTTTTTTTCTCCCTGTATTACACTTATATCTGTAATGACTTCTGGCACTATCAGAATATAAAATGAATGGGCAGAGGACTCCAAGAAAGCTGTGTGTGAACTATTAAACCCTTGGAGAAGGTGAATGAGCAAGGAGAGATGGCCACCCTTGACATCTCTTTTGGAAATGACTGCACATAATTTGGGTTTATGTGTTCTTGACTGATCTGTTTTCTTTTGTCTCTCTCTCTCTCTTTCTCCGGATCTGAAAGATCTATGATATTCAGACTGGCAACAAGCTGTTGACTCTGTTTAATCCAGATCTTGCAAACAACTACAAGAAGAATTGTGCCACCTTTAATCCCACGGATGATCTTGTCTTAAACGATGGCGTTCTTTGGGATATTCGTTCTGCGCAGGCTATACATAAGTTTGATAAATTTAACATGACCATTAGTGGTGTTTTTCATCCAAATGGGCTGGAAGTCATAGTCAACACAGAAATTGTATCCTGTTTTCTTTTCAACTGTAGCTAACATGAGAATTTTAAAGAACTTGGTTTGACAACCTCACAGCTGCACCGTAACAAATCTTTGTTTGGTCAAAGCAAATGGGGGGGTAGAATTTGGATCAGCATGGTGCAGTAACCAGTTCAGGCCATTCTTTGTGCCAGAGGTGGTTAGGATCGGGAACTTTAGCAGAAGGTGCCATTCAAACCCATCTGCAGCTCTTAGCCTAACTTCATGCAGTGAGTGAAATCCATAGGCGGCTGGGTGAGAAAAGCTGTGATAGGATGGAGAAACTGTGAGCTGGGGAATCATTTGGATCTCTGGCAGACTGTTACTCATAAAAGAAGGAAGAAGCTGAGTTGGGGAGGGGAAATAGGGTGAGACAGGAACATAAGATAGTTACAGTATTCTTTCTGAGATACGACAACTAGACAGCCTACACGGTCTTTCGACAGTGTAGCTTTTGGCTCACAGAGTCTCTGTTGGTGGAACTTGGGGTGGGAGTTTCTCCACTTGTCATCAAAACCTGTTCCAAAGGCTTGGGACTTTCTTCTGGGACTAATTTTGAGGGGTGGTTGCAAGGAGAGACAGGAGAGAGAAACTCCAGGTATACTAGTAGGCTTCTATTGAGATATGAATTCTACCATAAGTCTGGTCACACCCTACATTTGTATATAAATATAATAGTTACTGGCAATTTGAAGTTTGAATTCTAGTGATCCCAACATAGATTTCCCCTTTTAAAACACGAGAGAAAAGGAGTTGCCCTCCTCATTTTTATTTCTGCCACCTCCAACAGTATCTAGCCCTCAACAATATGTAGCACAGAAAAAATGATTCTCCCTCCCCACAAAAGAAATATTTATATATTTATTACCTGTATTTATATTCTGCTTATTCCTACAGTGAACTTGAGGCAACATACATGGTTCTCCTTCTTTATTCTTGTTATAGCCTGTGAGGTCAGTCAGTCTGAGAAACTGTTGACTGGCTCACAATTACCTAATGAATTTCATGACTGTGGGGATTTGAACTCAGATCTTCTGAGTCCAACCACTCTATCACACTGGTTCCGAATCTGAGATATCTAATGCACCGAGAAGAATCTATAGCACTGTCAATTTAAGGGTTCTGAATACTCTCACTGCAGAATTCTGTGTTAAAGGAACACAACTTTTGGAAATGCTGGAGTATTTCTTCTGTGATTGGAATATTTCATGCAAATTTTGGAGAAACATGCAAACATTCATTAAACTGTTTACATATGGTACTTCACGGACTAAAATGAAATTACTCTTTTGCTTGACTGAATTAATAATGACATGATGTGGGGCTGCCTTGGGGCCAGGAGGAAGGTGAATTAACTAGAGCAGGGCCTGGAATTAGAGTAACCTGGTAGCTTCTCTTGATCTTGGTGGCAGTTGCAGAATGATTGCTGGAAGCTTAGCTCTAGGTATTCTCTGTAATGAAAAGGCTCTGTAGATTTGTGCTTCTGAACCACAGGTTCTAGAAATTACCAGATAGCATGACTGTGTAACCTGGGAAATTGTAATCAAAGAACAGAAATCTGCACAGCTAATGCTGTGGTTGCTGGTGGTTACTATGGTGTGGGGTTCTGCTGGCTACCATGGCAATAAATATGGTGACAGATGGTAGTGTATAATCTTCCTTAACATAACTTCTAGTGGGATTTGCGAACGTTCCATTTGTTACACACCGTTCCAGCCTTGGATCAGTGCCGTGTAGTCTTCAACCACACTGGAACAGTTATGTATGGAGGTAAGATGCCCATTTGTAAGATGCTCCTCCTGGTATTTCCTTGAATTGACCATAGAAACCGAGTCAGAGCTTTTCTTTCCCCTGTGCTTGTAGTTCAGAACAAATTAACAGAAATGTACATTAGAAAGTTACATATTACTGGCACTAAAGAGAGAAGTCCCCTAAGTTCTAGGTTAGGTGCCGTCAGGATATGCAAAATCAGCATAAAGTTCAAGTTATTGCCCCCATCTTGAACTATACAGTGGTGCCCCGCATAGTGACAATAATCCGTTCCAAAAAAATGATCAATACGTTTAATGCATTCCTATGGGCAAAACTCACCGTTATGCGGAAATCCTCCATGCGGCCGCCATTTTCGCTGCCCGGTAAGTGAGGAAAGCGCGAAAACACAGCGGGTGGCCATTTTCTTGACCCGGTGGCCATTTTGGAACCGCTGATCAGCTGTTAAAAAAACATCGCTATGCGAAAATCGGTAAGCGAAATGCTTACCGATCATCACAAAGCGATGTTTTACCATTAGAAACATCGCAAAAAACACATCGCTATGCGGATTTGTCGTTAAACGAATCGCTCGTTATGCGGGGCACGTCTAGATGGGAGTTTTGTAGGCTTATTGTTTTTATTTTATATTTTTATATTTTTAGCTGCCCAGAGTAGACTTCGGTCTAGATGGGAAGGGTATTAAATAAATAAGTAAATAAGTAAATATGTAGGCATCCTTCAGTCTCGAGAGACTATGATATCGTGCTCTGTATGGAGGTCTTGGAACAGTGTCTTGTGTGGCTAAGCAGGCCAATTCGAGAGTGACAATCCCTTCCACACTGGAGACAAATCCAATCTGTCCCCTGTCCAGCTCCCTGGTTTTGCTTGTTTCGGGACTGCCTCTTTGCCTCGGTCTGCTGTACAAGTGTCTCTTCAAATTGGGAGAGGCCATGATGCACCGTCTGCCTCCAGGCTGAACGCTCAGACGTCAAGGTTTCCCATCTGTTGAGGTCCATTCCTAAATAAGTAAATAAGTAAATAAATAAAAAAGATGGGCTAAATCCAGGAGGGAGATGGGAATTAGCTGGTTTATAACTCTCTTCCATCTTGCAGAAATGCGGAAACAATAGCAGCTTGCTCTTGCGAGACAGATAGATATCCTTGTTGTATATGGCAGTTGAGTTCTTCCAAAATATCTTCATCCTTGCCTCCACTGTTTCTTCCTTTTTTGTCTGGTGTCTCCCCCTGCCACTCCATCATTATTGTTTTACTCAGTCTCCTTTGTGCTCAACACCTCCTCTTTCCAAATCCACCTCAAAAACAACCCATTAATTATTCAGCAAGTAATGTGTACAGCACATACACTAAAGCCATAAATCTATAACATTTTCATATTCTGACTATGGACTTCTATTCCATGCCAGCTTCATTTCAGTGTCAAGACATACCAGTGCCACATGCAGCCTCCTACAGAACTTTTGAATCGCAAGCAACTATTTACTTAATTAATATTTTCTCCTTGATCAGCTATGTTACAGGCTGATGATGAAGGTGACCTGCTAGAAGAGAGCATGAGAAGTCCTTTTGGGTCATCTTTCAGGACATTCAATGCAACAGACTACAAACCGATTGGTAAAGATCCTGACAGCACTTTCTTGAAATTGCATTTAAAAATTATGTTGATGTTCCCCTCTGCTGAAAAAATGTAACCAACCTCTTGGGAGAGATTTCCTTACCCTTTGTTTCCAGAATTCTGATTTGGTTCTGCAGTGTAGAAAGGGTTTCCTTGTGAACAGCAGGAAAAGAAAAATTCTGAATTAAGGGGAACTGAATGTCAAAGCCCCCCAAAAGGTGGCGCTTCAGAATAATTTTCAAAAATGGGTGTGATTCCCGGCACGTTTTGTAGAGAAAGCATACTGAGCAGTCATGCTTTGAAAGAAGCATCACAATAAGCAGAAGAGGAATCTCTTTGCTTCAAAGAAGGTGATACAGTACAGTGCAGAGACCAGATGAGCTCAAAATGTTAGTCCCAGCTGTAGTAGAACCTTTAAATCACTGAAGCTTATGTAATTGCAGACTTACCATGTGCTTTAGTGGATCTCCTGTAGTTGGAACTAAGAATTGAATAGAGGCACTCATGGCACAGTGGTTAAGCTGCAGTACTGCAGGGAAAACTGCTCACGACCTGAGTTTGCTCCTGGACTCAGGAAGCTAGTTTGAGATTGACTCAGCCTTCCATCCTTCTGAGGCTGTTAAATTGAGTACCCAGCTTGCTTGTGGGGTAGAGGACAATGTGTAGCCTGCATCATTAAAATTGTAAACTGCCAAGAGAGAAAGCACTGTGTAGCAATATATAAACAGCGTGCTCTGCTTATTATTTAAGAAACAAATATGGAGTCTACTCACCCCTGGAATGAAGCATGTAGGCACCTGTTGATTCTGTTGTGTTACTTTTCCAGCTACCATTGATGTAAAAAGAAACATCTTTGACCTATGTACAGACACAAAAGATTGTTACTTGGCAGTTATTGAGGTAAGCGTGATTCTTGCGTAACAAGAAATGTTATCAGTATTTTTGAGTTCTTTCTTTGGCCAAATACATTTGTGAAACATGGGTTCCCTTACAAACTGGTGGGATGGAGGTGATGTGGTTTTGCTGGCATGTAAGTCGGGAAAACTTGCTTTAACTTAATCTGTTGGGTGTGTGGCTCCTGTTTTCAGAACCAAGGAAGCATGGATTCCATAAACATGGACACTGTTTGCAGGCTTTATGAGGTGGGCAGGCAGCGCTTGGCAGAAGATGAAGAAGATGAGGAAGAAGACCAGGTGAGCAGCTTCATCTCCTTTTTGCTGTTATTAGCAAACCTTTTTAGGTGATTCTTTCCTTTTTGAAAACAATTGAAACTAGACTCTAATATGTAAGCATGAGTATATATGTGTGTATGTAAAATTTCATCATCTGGGTTTGGTATAAAACAGTGGTTCTCAACCTTTTTGTTATGTGCAATTCATATGAGGGGGTTGGAGCTTGGGGGACTCTCTGCCCTCTCATCCTCAGGCCACCTTCACATCTCCTCTGGTAGTGTGTAGGAGAGTGCCAGTGAAGGGGTTGAAACCTGTGAGGAATTTTGTCCCATACAAACGGCCATTGATAAGAAAGCAGCAGGCAGCAGCACAAGCCCCTGGGTTCATGGTAGAACAAGAACGGGCGCTGCCTTGGAGTGAAAGCTGGGCCATCATGCAGTGGGCAGGGAGAGAAGAAAAAAGCCAAGAGGTTTCTCACTACTTAGGATATAAATAAGCAACTTACACTGTTGCCATATGAGCCTTGTGGTGAAGTGGTTAAACTGCAATAATGAAATGAAGACTCTGCTCAATGACTTGAGTGCAATCCCAGACTCCGATAGATAGCTGGAGGTTGACTCAGCCTTCCATCCTTCCAAGGTTGGTAAACTGACTACCCAGCTTGCTGGGGTGGGGGTGGGGTGGGGATGTGTAACCTGCAGAATTAAATTGTAAACCACCCAGAGTGAGCTTTAAGTACTGTGGAGCAGTATATAAGCAGCATGCATTGTTTTGCTTTGCTTTACTTTTTATGCCATTGATCGGGATTTTTTTTTTCATTTATCCCTAAATGTCCTGCTTCATACCCTGGGGGTATGCATACCCCAGGTTGAGAACCACTGGTGTAAAAGATAGTACAGTGGTGCCCCGCATTACGACGACCCTGCTGCAGGATGACTTTTTTGCGATCGCTGTAGCGATCGCAAAACGATGGTTCCAATGGGGAAAATCCGCTTTCCAATGATTAGTTCCCTGCTTCGAGAACCGTTTTTTTTGATGGATGACGATCTTTACAGCTGATTCGGGCTTTCAAAATGGCTTCCTGCTGTTTTCCGACCCTTATTTTGGAAGACAGCGATTAAAAACAGCTGATCAGCGCTCACAAACTAGCCGCCCTATGGAGGATCTTTGCTGGACAATGAGGTAATCTCTCCATTGGAATGCATTAACCGGTTTTCAAAGCATTCCAATGGGGATTTCCCCCCCGCATGACGACACTTTTGCTTAACAGCGATTTTCCTGGAACGGATTATTGTCGTCATGCGGGGCACCACTGTACACTGAAACTGTTGTAAGTGCTTTGTATTGAGATGTTAGATTTAAAATACATATCTTAATAATGTTGTTTTATATTAGACATTAATTTGTTATGTGGATATGGTTAAAATGATCACTCGTAACATTTTAAAACAGAGAACCACTCTGAGAACTCTGCTCAGGAGGTGGTTGAGGCAAGAGACAGATATTAAGATGTCCTTCTCATTGTGATGTATGGATCTCTATGGTGTTCATCCAGGTCTCTGCTTCCAGCAATGACATGTGAAAGGCGTAGATTTGGTTCTTAGCTTCCCATGGAAAAGAATCCACATTTATTTATGGAATCTCCTGTGTCTTGCATGCCAGCATCTGCCTCAGCCCAGTACAACACTGAGGTCCATTTCCTGTTGTCTCTTACTAGGATAGCTGATCATGGTTGTAATAGCAGTTTGTGATTCTGGAAAATAATATGACTGACCACAATAAACATTGCCTGTCAGTATTCAGCTGGTTTAAAGCTTATGGTACATTTCCTAGTTGTTTATATTCTGTCAAAATGATTTGCACTTTGCTGCCTAGGTTCTGTAAGACTAGTAGGTGAATTGTTTTACTTTGTTCATATCAGAGTAAAAACAGAGCCAGTGCTTACAATACAAACAGAGGTAGGGTGCTGTATGGCAAAAGAAACTATAGCCAACATATCAGGAAGATACTGGAATGCTTTCATTTTGCTTAACTGAGAATAAAATAAATTTGCTGTTTGGTTTTCAAAAGTGTTTTTTTTTACATTAGATTGCAGGGGGAAAAATCTTCTTGGACTCATTTCCCCTGAAGCCTTAATACTTGTCCTGGGAAGTAACAGGGTTTCTGAGCCAGTGCTCCTTTTCCCAAGGTGATGGCAGTAGCTGTCTTTGTATCCTCAGTCTTGCTTTCTACACGAGGAGTGGACCAAAAGAACTGGTTTATTAACTACCGTATTTTTCTTTGTATAAAATGACACTTTTCCAGGATATGAATGGCGACATCGTTCATATTTTTTTTTGTTCCAAATTCTTTTGGTGGGAGACTTTTTTTATTTTCTTATTTCTAGTGCATCAGCCCTTTCATTTTATATGAAAGAGAAAAACCCTCTTTTGGCTTCCCATTCATATATCCTATTTGTGTTTTCTGGCATTTGAGAAACCCTAAAGAATTATTTAAAAATACTAAAACAAACAACAAAAAATTGAAGCAAGTCACAAGAGAATGACGCTTTTGAAAGCAGGCAACAGTACATGAGAAAGAGATATCATAGCCAAACGTTGCACCAGACTCTGGATTTGGGCAGCACAGAAAAAGGCAAAGAAAGGGCTAGCAACAAAAAAAAAAGCAATATAAAAAAGGACATGGAAGCAGCCAGGTCCTGCCTAGCACACAGGACCCGTGTTTTGAATTATCCGCTTACGTTCTGTAAGGTTTTCAGAGTGCTCTGCTAGTTAAATGAAGTTTTGAAAGCAAAAATAAATAGCTAAATCAAAATGTTACATTTGATATTCTAGCAGTATTGCTTTTCCCCCCTAGTTGCTAGTATTGAAAACTTTCTTTAGGAGAGGTATATATAACAGATTGTCTGCAGATAGTTTTGCACTGGAGTGCACAGGAAAATCAGCATCTTGGATAGATGCTATGCTTTATGGTTCCCCTTTGATACCACACTGTTTTATTTTGAACTAGGCCTTGTGTACCTTTTCATGTGAATCTTTAGTTTGCCACTTGGTCTTACTGGGACAGAAAGTAGAAAACATTGATTCTGTCATGTGTAAAGGTCTCTGTCTGGAAGCACTCTTAGTCTTCATAAATCTTCGATGGCCCCTTGAGACCACCTTGTAAGACAAACTGAATCAGCAACATCACTGGGTGAGGTCGGAAAGGAACTTAATGGCAAAAGAGGCTGTGATTGTGTGTTTGTGGTCTGGCCTCTTGAATCATTATGTGCTTTGTGTTGGATGACCTGGTCACATGTCATAAGGCTGAGGTTGCAATTATCAGGGAAATAACAGCCCTGTATCAGGCCTCCTATCTTGTACAACACAGTGTTTTCTAAAGAATGTAAATTAGTCCATCTTTCATTGTAAATATTGTGTAAACATTTTCATCTGCTAAAATGGAGAGGTAGCTGGTGTGAAGCTGTGTGGAGAACAGTATCGCTTGTAAATGCAAATGCTTGAGGAATTTGATATGAGTAACAGCAGGTGAGTCTATGTTCCCTTTTAGAGCAAAGCTCAGATGGTTATCATGAACAAGCAGTTTATTCATTTGTGACAAGCTGTCCTGGCCCACAGTCGTTTTCAGTGCACAGTTGTTCAAGGTTAATTTGTACTTCTGAGAGAGTCAAGGAAATGGTACATTGTGTTGTGTGTCCCACGATGGGTTTTCTTTTCAGGGATCTTGTACTCTGAAGTGTTTGATTTTTGGATGTGAAGTGTTTGTTACCTGGCAGTGGATGTTTTTCTCCAAACTGGCAAGGCTTTCACATGGTCATTGTTCTTTCTCCCTGAAAGGAAATCAATACAACATCTCTAAACGATGTTCCTGAATAGCCACAGCTTTATCTCTCATATGTGATGCCTCTTCACCCGTTTCCTCCTCCATCACTGAATTATTTTGTAGAGAATGGAGAGGTTAGCCAGGCAAGCAGTGCACCATTTAGTGTGAAAACCAACATTTTAAAGGACTGGACCTTTGTGGTGCACCTTGTGTCCCTGTAAATAAATGCAATTAGCCACTGGTGTTTTTTGTTTTGTTTTGTTTTTGCAGTTGAACAGATTGGTATAGCAGAAAACACCCAATGCAAGGGAAATTAGCACGCAAATTCCTAATGAATGTAGGAGTTTCACATATGAGGCATTGGTTTTCTTATGATGAAATACACACAATTATGTAACGTGAAATTAGTCGGCAGAGGGTACCCAGAAGTGGTTTTACCAGTCCCTTCCTCTGGGTCTCCTGGGAGTGTGCATCTTCCCCAAGGCAGCGCAGGCTGCTGCTTCTCCCAGGGACAGAGTGGGGAATTGAACTCCTCACATCTAGCTCCGCAGCCAGATTATCTGACTCACTGAGCTTTTATGAATGTGCTTTATGAATAAAAGCTGGTCTTGACAGTAAACATTGTTACTTTTCAGTCTAGCTCCCTGTTGTCTGCTCTGCTGGTAGTGGTTCTCCAAGGTCTTAGGCAGAAAGATGTTCACATCACCTGCTACCTGGTCCCATTTTAGCAGGGGACTTCCTGGATGCCAGCTGCATGCTCCACCATGGAGCCTTGCTTCTTCTCTAAATCTCTAGTACAGGTTAAAGGCAGTAAATTTTATTGATGTACTCAACTTAAACAAAAGTATATGAAAAATACAGTACAGTTTTAGTACTGACTGCTTTGTAGTTTCTGTAGATAAGTACTCACTAACTTAGTTGGCTAAAGCTGTAGAGTGGGAATAACTGTGTTTTATCTTTTCACTCCAATTTGGCATCTGTGACAAATTGTTTGCCGTGTTACGTGTATTCCGTCTGTCCTTGTCTTCTGGGTCGTCACAGAAGCCTATGGTAAGAACCTTGTCTTCTCAGTGTTAATATACCTAGTCAGTTCTACATTATGCCTTGGATGTGGCCCATAAGGAGTCTGCATGTACCAGAAAAATGGAATCTGCGAGGTAAAAACGAGCCATGTTACGCAAGATTTTGTCTAGAGTCCATCCTTTGTGGACGAAAGGCACAAACACGCTCAAGGCTTGTCAGGACAAAGGGAGGGAAGTGAGAAGAAAATCTGGACTGGAAATGCAGAGGAAGGGAAGTAAGAATGCTAATTGTCTTGTAACAGAAAAACAGTTACACCATTTACCCAGGCACTACGTCAGCATTTGTAAAGCAGCAGTTATCATGAAGATAAACTATAGTTCTTAAGAGAGATAAAATGTATTTACTCTTGACTGGAATACATTAAATATTCCAATATACTTTTTTTTAATGAAAGGAACTAAAGATCATTTATTTACACATTCACACACATGTATGTATGTATGTCATTGGCATGGATATGCATGTATGTAAAATAGAGGGCAGACTCCTATTGTGTAGATTATACTTGTGGAAGGATGATGTCACTGGCAAGAGGAGATATTAAGATAGTGAAAGAGTTTCTCCTCCTGTTTCACTGTGTGTCTGACTTGTGAGTAAATCATTTGATTGCTTGGGAGCCGTAGCATGGAAGGAGAAAGACTTTAATTAGCCACAGTCTCTGCCTGCCTGGTGATAGCAGAAATTTTTGGCAATTAGTTACTTCCTCCTTCCATCCCGTAGCTTCCATACAGCAGAATTGACTCCTTGCAAGTTGGGCAAGAAGTCCTTAATTAGAGCAAATGTTTTGTTTATCACCTTTCCATTGGTGTAACTTACGCAATAGGACTTTGACAGGGAAATGAGAAGCATAAAGTTACTAGGAATTGGCTGCAGATAGTGGCGAAGTTGGGCTGCAGTAATGCAGTGCTTCCTCATCCTGTTCCCATCCTTGTGGCAACAGGGATGAAGTGGAGATTTTTGCTTCCACTTTTTAACTGCGGTTCAGATTCACATTTGACTCCTTAACTGTGCTTCATATTAATTGGTTTGTTGAAATAAGCCAACTTCAAAAGTCACGACATGAACTTCATTTGTGCCAGTTAACCATAGTTAAGGCTAGCTGCAGTTAAGAACTTTTGGCTAAATGGCAGTTGCTGGAACAGAGGAGCATCTGATCATCTGTCTGCAGTTGTGCTAGAGGAGAGATGAGGAGGAAAGGGAATATCCAGGTATTACATGACTCAGTGGCAGTGACACTCTGAAACAGTTATAGTTATTGAAGCTTAGCAAGGGCAAATGGATATTTCCCTACCCTTTTAGTATGAAAACGTAATCATATATTTTTGGTAGCTTCATCCATAATAATGTCTAATAAATTCTGTGTCAAATGGATAATAAAGTATTGTTATGTCCAGACTTTTGAAATCATCATATAGCATGGTATGAAAACAGTCACGACCATATAAGCCCTAAACTTTACTACAACTTTGTGCTGGGTATGAAAAAACCCTGCATAAATGCCAGCAACTAAAGGTAAAACTCTATCTAGATGTAAAGTTGTTTCAATAGGTTAAAGAAAGAAAGCTACAAAGAATATTTGGTTTGTGAGATTTTATGGACAAGTGTATCCATCAGATACATGAAATGGCTAATGAAGAGTGCCTAAGTGTACATTATGTGAACAAACATACACCAAGGGGATCCTATTGGACCCTCAGTTGAGGGTGAGGTAAAATTTTTGTTATATTTCTGAAATAATCACTGTGGCTGATGACATTATCAGCTTTATGTGGCATAACTTAGAGAACAGGATTTTGGCCATTAAGTGAAGGCAGAAATTGTTGTCATTATTCAGTTTCACATTGCTTTTTTTTTTTGACTGAACTCCTGAAAAATTGCTATAATGTATGAATGTGGCAAGCACGTTTTGCAAACATATGTGTCCCAGCGGCACCTGAAGTAGGGAATTTAGTGCAATTCAGTGTGAAATTCACTATGGCAGATCTGGTTGAGTTTTGCATAGCATGGCAAATGGGGAACCATTGCCTGTAGAGGCTTAGCCCCGTGTAGGTCACAATTCAGAACAGAAATTTTGCCATGTATGTTGTGAATTCCAGTTCAGCAGCACTTAATTCTTTTTCCTTTTCCCTTTTGCTTTTTATTTTGTTTGCAAGGCTCGAATTACTATGAAGTCAAAAATGGAATGACCTGGGATATAAAAAGTGTTGTGTTCTCCTGAAACTTTATAACTAAGGCATAGAAAACGTGCTTTATAGAATGAAAGATGCACTGAGAGAAGAGCAGTTAAACTTGTCCAAAGCAGAGAATAGCTACTTCTAAAGAAATATGGTCTTAGTCTTCAAAAAAACAACAACAAAAAAACAGGTTTTGATGCTTTGCTGGACAGAAGGAAATTGATCTTTATCCTTAGAATAGAGAAGGATGTGGTGGTGGCCACATGTGTTTTTGTTATTCTCAGTCAAATGAGCAGACTTTTGGCTACTTGGGGGGGGGGAACCTTCTTTGTTGCACAGAGTTTTGTTTTTTTGTTTTTAATTTTGGATCCATTATGAATGTTGAAACAGTCAGGGGCTTCACAAGTCCCTCTTACCTAGTGCTAGGCCTCTCTGGAAACTTGGTTTTCTGTGTAGTGGTGGTGGTTTCTTTGGAGGAAGTGTGCCTGAAATAGTCCTTAAGGCAGGAGCAAATGACGTGTTTCCCATAGGCTGCATGCTGCCTCCCAGGAATGTTTTTGTGGCATCCCAGGCCCTCACAGCCTCTCTTTTAAAAACAAAAAAACAAAATGTGGCCTGTTTTAGTAAAAAGGAGGCCCTGGATGTCGCAGTTTTTGACTCCTGCCTCTTGAGAGGTAGATTCTGAATGCTTCCCCGTCCCTCTTAAAACCAAACCACCGTCCTCTGAAGGTCCCTGTTCAGGCCCCCCCCCCCGCTTGTTTTTTTCTTCTTCAAACAATTGCTGGTTTGGTCGTTTTTGGGGCCTGCTAAAGTCCTATCAATGCTATCATTGATAGGACTTTGGGTGCTATAATAATTTGAAATACAACAATCCATTGCAGTGAACAAGTTGGAAATGTTGGAGGATCTGTTTGGACAGAGAAACTTGTGAAGTGAGTTTAAATGTGTTATGTTGTTACAATAGCCTGAGGCTCTAGAAACAGATATAAAGTGATTGTACCAATCCTTCATGATTAGGAATTGCATCCTAAATGAGTGTTTGAAGCTTTCTGTGTGGTTAGAGTAAGGACACAACTTTAAAGAGTCTGTGGTTTAGGTCTCTGGCTGTGGAGCCAGAGGCTGGGAGTTCGATTCTCCTCTTGTGCCTCCTTGAGAGGAGCTAGACTCAATGATCCATAGGATCACTTCCAGCTCTGCAGTTTCATTTGTTATTGAACTTATAGGCTGCCACTAAAGGTATGATTTAGTTTGGAAAATGTCATCTGGTGCAAGTATTGTCAACAGCAGGCATTTCTACCTTTATGGTGTAATTTAATAATGAATTGCCATTATTCTGATAAATGTGTATGCCTGTTGAAATTCATTCAGTAGCTAGAAAGTGAGCAATATGCTTATTAAGCAGTATTATTGCCTGTTGATTGAAAGCTGCTACTTTTACTTCACAGTTACGGTTTAAAGTAACCTGTAGACCAGGAAGACATCAGTTTCTCTTTCAAATAGGTGCCTTCCTACCTTAACTGAGATATAAGAACTGAAATATTTTCCTCTACCAAGAATGGTTGTTAGAATGTTACCAAATGGAGAAATGCAAGAATATTAGGACATACAAATTTCCAGTGAACCAAAATATGCATTTCTTTGGAAATGCAATTATCAGTTTTGTGTTCTTGAGGACGCCAGCCGAGGTATTGCTTAGTTGAAGCTTGTTTCTCCTTTGGCTGTTAAAAACCTGAGCCTGTTGATCTAGTAATGGTAGCTTGGATCCAGGATAAAATTAATCGAACCGGTTCCTATTGAAAAATCTGCGAGATGTTACATAGTAACTAATTTGTCACTTTGATTTCTCTGGGGCTGAAATTCAGCAATCCACCATTGTTATGCTGCCATTTGGTTCATCCAGACCTGTTTAAAATGTATAACCTGTTGATCTGATGCAGTGTTACTAAATATGGGCACAAGCCACTGACCCCGTGAGCAGGCAGGCACCCACTCAGAGGCAGCCCCCAGGCTTCTCTGCCCTGCCTCCTCCGGGCGCATAAGGTTTCGATCCATCTCTAGGTATTACTTGGCTAAGAATTGTGTCTCTGGGTACAGATCTATGACATTTGATGGAAGGCAAGGAGGAAGCATTTTGCTCAGGAAGTGTAAAAACCCTGGAGCACGTTTGTCTCTGGTTACATTTTTTCATTAGCCCATCCAGTTTTAGTTAGTTCTCATGAAGCTTCTATAATATCTCTTCAGGAGGAGGAGGAACAGGAAGAAGATGATGATGAGGATGAAGACGACACAGATGACCTTGATGAACTAGACACCGATCAGCTTTTGGATGCTGATCTTGAGGAAGAGGAGAACAATGAGAATGCAGGCGAGGATGGGGAAAATGACTTCTCACCTTCTGATGATGAAGAATTGGCCAATTTGCTTGAAGAGGGGGATGAAGGCGAGGATGAAGATTCTGATGCCGATGAGGAGGTTGAGCTGATCCTTGGTGATAGTAAGTATGGGTTCCATAGAGGACGACTCCTGGATGAATCTAGAAAGCACATATGAGGAATTAAGATCCCCATCTGAATTGTGAAAGAGCACTTTGGTGTAGGCTTTTCTGTGAGCTCCAGTGTGCCAACAACATGTTTTCTATCCCCTGCCACTCTGACAGTCTCATAAGAAAGAGAAGCCATTCCCTGTCTCTGCAGTACAAATGCAGAGCATTTGGCCTTTGGTTTCCAGTTCAAACTAATACAAAGGTTTTTGAGCTAACAGCCTTATTTCCGTAGGCACTGTTGTTACTTACCCACCTCTGGACACACAGAGTTAAGGGTTTGGGGGATCTCATTCAGTTTCAGAAGAACTGAAGATTTTTAAGAAAGTGCTGCAACTATTGCAGGGCAAAGTGAGGAAATCTTGTTTAATTTAGCCTCTGGATATAGCCAACTCATTTAAGGCAACTCCATAATTTAAATGATAAGATGGATTGCCACACACACATGCTTGATACACTCACACAGTAAAGCATTTGCAGCATAATCATGTATTTACAAATACAGTCCTAGGTGTGAATGTGTGGGTGTTTGAAGATGTACCTGAACATGTTCAAAGGTGATTCAGAAGAGCCATATTTCCTGGGAAACTGCACTTGCCCATAGTTTCATTATCTCATTTCCCCAATTACAAAATAGTAAATACCCATTGGTCTCTCTCTGTCTTGTGAGATCCTCATCAAATAAAACATTGGTGGATGAGAACTGTGGGGATTCTGTGGGAGAACTTAGGGCAGCCTCTCCAAGCTGGGTCTTTCCATTTGTTTTGAACTTCAGTTTTCATCATCCTTGATTGTTATCCATGGTAAGAGTTCTTGGTCATCTGCAGAGAGAGAGGCTTTGGTTTGGTAGACTGGCCTCTGCAAACTGTGTAGGTGTGAATAAATCAGTGGGATTTACTCCTGATTACCATTTTATCCCATACTGTATTTTAATCCCCCGGTGGAAGATAATGAAGTTTAGTCATTACTAGGGGGAGGATTTCTATAACATTTCACACTTTCTCTGCAACCTATACTTGAACCCACAAGCAAGTTTAAACATGTTATGAGTAATCTGGCCTTTCTCACCAGATTACTTATAAAGGTGTCCAAACCCACTTACAAATTCAAACATAGGCTGCAGAAAAAATATGACATGTCATAGAAATCCTCCCCCTAGTCATTGCCATCTCCTTTCTGCTTTCATTAGCTTTTCAGAGCAGTCATGCAGGTGGATGAATGTAATAAGCTTAAGATGCATGAAAATAGATTGCTTCAGGGTGTTCTTTCTGGACTATACAGGCATCATTTTTCTACAGCCTGCCATTCCTCAAATTCGGAAGAAATCAAAATTTCATTTGGAGAGTTGATTTTGCCACAAATGCCCAGACTAGGGAGCCCTCCCTTTATATCGCCAGCTTCATCTAGGTCACACCACTGCAGCTTTGTCTGTAAACAAGGCCAGTCAGAATAATATTTCAAACTGTTAATCACGTTTTTCTTATTTAGGTATTAAATTTATATCCGCTGTTGCTTTTAAAAATGCCCCGTTCTCCTCCCTGGCCTTAAGCAATTTCTTACCTATAATATCAGTACATGAAAGTACAAAGGAATGATACTTCTGACTTTTGGGAGTATGTCTGCTCTCATAAGTAAAAGGAGTCTCTACTTAAACTGCCTGTTGGTTGTTGTGAACCTTCCCTGTGTTGAAAAGACAGTGTCCGCCAGATGAAATGGAAGTCTTTGTCCATCATTGCTCTTCTGTGTAACTCTTCAGTGCTGTGAAGTATAGCTTGGTAGAAGTACTTATCAAAAACAAATGTGTGTGAAGAATATGATGTAGGATGGGCATTTCAGGGGCCAAGGGAGTGGAATGATGAAATACCGACACTAAGGATCTGATCTGTAGACTTGTGACACTAGGCTGCTAAGCATAGGCAGATGCACAGGAATTTAGTGCTCCGTCTGTAATGTCCCTCCAAGAGAGGCTTGCAGATCAGCAATAATATCTCCTGAGAAAAAAAGACATCTAGTCCCTGCCCTGCAACCATGTCTGCCTGCCTGCCTCCCTCCCTCCCTCCTTCCCTCTCCTTTCAATCCTTTCCTTTCTCTCCACTATTTAGTAGTAATTTGTTTGTATGGAAGAGAAGGAAATTAGCTAGCATTCAGTTTACAAAGAAGCAGGTGCTATTTTGGAAAATTATATTTTCATGAATATTATGTTTTTTTAAAAAAACATGCAATATGGTTGCAGTCCTTTGCTGGGTTTTCCAATATCCAGAATACCATCTGCCCATAAATCACCAGATTTCATTAAGGGAAATGTTTGCAGATGGTCCATGAACATCATTTTTCTATATCCTGTCATATATCAGTGCTCACGTATTTTTTTCTGGTGTTCAGGTCCTAAAAGTTCCATTTTCCTAATGGGGTAAGGAATACTTACTTACTAACCTTTACTTCAGCAACCATCTCTCCAACTGAAGTATAATATCAAGTTCCATAGAACAGTTAATCTTTCCTCTTCATCTCCAACCACAGGTACAAACTCAGCTAGAGCATAGTCTTAAGACAGGGAGATAAATAACATCTTTCCTCTTTCATTCATTGAGTTCAGGAATAGTCCAGTCACATATGTAGAGTCACCCAATTATGGTTGCTGTTGCATAAAGATAACATTTTTTTACTGGCAGTAATGGCACCATTTGTGAAGGGAAGGAGTGACCATGTTCTTTTCTTGTCTTACGTCCAGAGCTTTTGCACCACAGCAAATTTCCCTTTATTAACCGAGCTGTCGTCTTTCTCTTTTTGTATAGTATTTCAAATGAACTCAGATGTTAAATAACATGCACAATAGAACTTGAGCTTTCTCATGTTATAACTCAAGATGTATTTCATCCAACATTTGAACTGAATGTCCCAAATCTTCTTCCTGGTTAAACCCATGTAAGGAAAGCAGTGTACCTTAATTTTATTAAACTTATATACCGCCCATCTAGAACGTTTACTCTGGGTGGTTTACAAAAAATATAAAAAATAAACTATGAAATTATAAATGTACTAAGAATTGTTGTTGCTTCGTCGTTAAGTCGTGTCCGACTCTTCATGACCCCATGGACCAGAGCATCCCAGGCCCTCCTGTCTTCCACTGCCTCCCGGAGATGGCTCAAAGTCATGTTGGTCACTTCTATGATACTGTCCAACCATCTCATTCTATGTCATCCCTTCTCCTCTTGCCTTCACACTTTCCCAGCATCAGGGTCTTTTCCAGGGAGTCTTTTCTGGCCACAGTATTGGAGTCTCAGCTTCAGGATCTGTCCTTCCAGTGAACACTCATAGTTGATTTCCTTCAAATTGGATAGGTTTATTCTCCTTGCAGTCCAGGGGATCTTCTAGAGTCTTCTCCAGCACCACAATTCAAAAGCGTCAATTCTTCGGCAGTCAGCCTTCTTTATGGTCCAGCTATCACTTCCATACTTCGCTAATGGAAAAACCATAGCTTTGACTATGTGGACCTTTGTCGTCAAGGTGATGTCTCTGCTTTTTAAGATGCTGTCTAGGTTTGTTATTGCTTTCCTCCCAAGAAGCAGGTGTCTTTTAATTTCGTGGCTGCTGTCACCCTCTGCAGTGATCACTGAGCCCAAGAAAGTAAAATCTAAGAATAAGACCCCAATTAACAGCAGACTCCAAGATGGAAAAAGAAAAAAAAAGGGAAAAGGAAAGATAGACTAGGTGATGGCAGTAGGGAAGGCCAGCCTGTATAGCCACATCTTCAAATTGCTCTTAATATTAAGAAATTGTTATAAAAGTTGTGCAGCTTGGCACACAACAGAAAATATCTGTGATTGCTAAACCTGAGGCAGTCCCCTCCTAAAAATAGTTAAATAATGGGGAAAATTCTGTGTCCGTTATGTATGTACTGTATTGGTGTCAACTGCATTATTTGCTTGTGGTACCTAGGGATTTTTTCCAGTGTCGTCTTTGCAAATCACAAAACATCTTGTGCTGGTGGCAAGTGATCTGCTTATGGAAAATTGCACTTGGGTTGTGGAGGAAAGTCCTGCTTGGCTTCTTATTGTTCAGCATCAGAGGTTTTGCTGTTCCATTTCTGCAGACTTCCCAGATGACACATTGTTGGCTCTGACAAATGGCAGCTACCGTTAAGGAGATAGTTAGAGATGGGCATGAAGTACTTCGTGCTCCTTTGTTGTTAGTCATCTGCGCGGCAGCTTGTTCCTTGACTCCACCACCCTCGCTGATACCTCCAGTTACCAGCTGGCAAGTGTTGCTTCTTCCCTCCCCGTCGCACAGTCTTTCAGTCCAAGCAAAAGCCCGGACGTCCCTTCTTCCCCTCTTCCAGCAGCTGCCCACTCAAAGGGAAATCTGCAGGAATCCTTGGCCCACCTCCTTGTCTGAGTGCCCAGCTGTTGGAAGAGGTGGAGGAAAGAAGTCTGGACTCCTGCCCAGGTGGGGTGGGGAAAAGGAGCACACGGGCAGTTGTGTTGCTGTATAGACGACTTATGACACAGGGGCACAAAGTACTTAGTGCCCATCTATAGAGATGGCCTTTTGTTTGGAACAGGTTGCCTTGCTTGCTTCCCCCCCCTTTTTTTTTAACATGTGAAACTTTGTCTTGTTCAAATAACCCATTTGTCTCCTTTCCAGCTGACAGCTCAGATAACTTGGATTTGGAAGATGATATCATCTTGTCACTGAATGAGTGAGGAGTGGTCACCTCACCCCACCCCACAGGATGTTGACAGCAGGAAAAAGCACCCCCATCTCTGAAGCCAGGAGACCAAATTAGGAGGCCAGACTGAGCTCCCTCTCAGATTCTAATTCTTGGGAGGGCAACTAAAGAACTCCAGCCCATCTGACCTTGCCGTGGAACGGTTAAAGGCTTCTGCCTCACCCAGAGCCTTCCTATGAAAGAGACCAGGGGTTTAGCCTTTATTTTCTCTGCCTTTTATTTTTGGCTTTTGGCTGAGACATGACTCTCCATGGAGACTTCTGAATATATTTCACAGTATATTTTCTTTGTATAAAGTTCTTTCCTAAAGAACAGAAATAGTTTTATATGAAACAAACAAACAAACAAAAAAAGGATTAAAAAACAGGCAGGCATTATAAAGAGGGCATGAATTTGTATCCTTCTAATGTTGGGTCACCATGATGAATTTTGAGGGGAGGAAAAATCTTTAAAAATAACAAAAAGGGCATTTTTATTGAAAGGAGAAGAGTGGGAAAAACTGAATCATGGATTGTGTAACTGTGGATGAGTGATTTTTATTTTGAATATGATTTTTTTTTTAATGGAGGTACTGCTACCTGCTGTGAAATGTTCATTTCTGTTAGGCGCCTTTTGTCCTGTCAGCAGCTGTGTGAGAGATCCTGCTGTCGTAGCCATGGTGGAAGATTGAAGGCCCCGCTCAGACCTGCCATTGCTGGAGCCCACCCACCCCCCTCCATCCCACCCTTTTTTGTGATTGAAATTTTTAAACCCCATCCCCATTCTCGGTGTGGAAACTACAAACTGAAGGCCTTTTTCTTTAATGTAAATTGTATTTATTAAAAAAAATAAAATAAAATTGAAGTCCTGTCTGTTTATCGCTCTTGACTCCCATAGTATACATTGGTTGCCTTTGTTGGGGCTTGAAGTCTTCAGGCTGTCTTTGCCCCATGATGTGATGCCGGGTTCCTGCTTTCTAAGTGAGCAGGTATTTAATAGGTGGAAAGAGAAAAAAAATTGTACGTCTTATGTTCACATGAACAGCCCTCGGTTCAGGAGCTGGGGCAAGTACTCTTTCTCACTTTAATGCCTCTTTGAAGGTTTCTACATAAAATGCAGCCACAGCCATATGCACACAGAGAAGGACTGGACCTTCCATGTCTCTTAACTGCTTGTTATCCCTGGCTTTCATAGGAAGGTTACAGGCAGAGCTTCCGTTTATATCTATTGCTCCACACCAGATCTATGGAATGAAACCTTTAAAACTCGGGATGATCTGAACTCTAACTAATCAATCCTATTTACCAATTAATTTTACACCATTTGTCTACATCTTCCTGTAAATATATTGGTGCACCGTGAATTCTATTGGTGAATCTGTATCTTTGGTGCAATCAAGATCTCCAATGTTCTTGGATTCCCACTCATGTGGATTGTTTCTGCACAACAAGAACCTGTTCTGATCAGATGGATCGCTTCAACACGATTGAAAGGGCAGGGCTAGTTGCCTCCCTGATCAAGTGCTGAAAAAATGAAAAGGGGTGTTTCAGCTAATGCTAAAACACGTGAACAAGCCTCAGACCTCTTGAAATGTCTGCTCATATTAGTACCCTCATTTTGAGCAAGGGGCCCCTTCCCCAGCCAATTTACTTAGAATTGGATGAAAAACTCTTAACCCCATGTTATATAATTCTTGGCTTATGTCTGCCACCTAAATACATTGATGTTGGGCTTTGGTAGATCCTGTACAGATCCATCTGCTTTGAATTGCTCTAATACCTTAAGGTGACTAAGCTAAGGCTCTGCTGAAATATTTACATTATGATAGAGTATCCAGTCAGTTTCTTGCCCCACCTCTCACTGTTTCAAGAGATAATGGTAGGCTCTCAGTATTAGTTGCAGACATGCAGTTTTGTCTAAGTGAAGCTGCTTTTTAAAATTCCAGGTTGGATACATAACAGCTACAAGGGATTCAGGTGGTGGTATCCTCAGCTGTTGTGTGCAAACCAAAATGGCAGGATCCAGTTTACAATGGGACATTGTGTGCATTTCACACAATCTCTCTCCCCTCCCCCTGGGTCATGGTGATATGACAGTATCTTCACTAAGTTGCATTTTAGAAAGCCTTAAAATCTATGATGGGTTCATTTTGAAAAGCAGAATAAGTTCTATGACTAACTTGATTTACTTATTCATGATCATTACCTTCGTAAATAGACTGCACACATTATAAAGATAGCAAAGAATCTTATCGCATATGAACTAAGTGCTTCCAAATACTGAGAGACCACTACAACAGTTTTTGTCTTTTGCCTGTGTCCATAACTCTTTGTTTGCAATTAAGGGTTATACTCAAATTCGTCAGTTTGTTTGCTTATCTACAGATTCTTCAGTGTCAAGCATACAATGCCATTTCAAAGTTTTTTAAATGAATAAGAACACTTCAATGATGTGATTATAATTGCACTATAAGAAAACGTCTTGAAAAAAGCTACTTTGTTCGTGTATATTTCTCAAAGTTCATACCCTACTGAGACCTTTCCAGAAAACATTAAAAGTTACAAAGAAAGCCTATTTCTGTTCAAAACCTAACAAACTTATTTTCTGGACCTTTCTCTTACAACTTTGTCTTATGAATATGGCTTACAACCTGCTTATGCCAGATTTGTTCTCTTTTTATAGCATTTTAGATGGAAAGCTAGCATTCAGTGAGCTGCATCATCTTGATACATCAGGGAATGTCCCTACTGGAAACTGCATTTTGCTATGTCCTCTTTGCTATAATTTTTGACTAGCTACCCAGTACTGGAGACAAATGATATGGTGGCAAGTTTTAGAATCTTGAAAAAGAGATGTATTTACATTAGCATCTAGCTCCTCAGCCTTCCAATATGAGAATTAAACATTTAAGAAAGGTTCCTCAACAAACCCTTTTGAGCACTGCTTGTTTTTCTCAAAAACAATACTTCATTAGTAAGTGGGGTTAAGCAGTACTCCTTCCATTATTTCACTTTAAAAGAAAAGAATCTTGTAGCCTCAAAGTGAGTATGGAATGAATGCTTGGCTTACGTCTGTTGTCGAAATACACTGAAATGGTGAAATCTCCAAAATAGGGCTGTGTAGCATTCAGAAGAGTCAGAAAAACAGCACTCTATACAGTTCCTGTTACTCCAGCATGCACTACTGCAATGTAAGCATGTGTAATCCTTCCATTCTTCAGCCTCCTATTGCAAAAACCTGCAAATTCCTTGAAAAGCAAGCTCAAGACAGGGAAGTCTCCAAGCTAAATAAGTGTGCATACATCTATTAATTGCCTAACTTTAAAAAAACACAAGTGGGGAAACTGTTATGCTATGTACAAAGTGGGAATATTTTGTCATAGCATCCGCACATACTTGACAGCCACTTCACAAAGGGCAGTTTTCCTACATTCAGCTCCCTGTGACAGCTGTTTAGTCTCTTCATACTTGTGAGACTTCTCTGGCAATTTTGATTTCCAGTATGTGGTAAAACAGACAACTGTGCACTTGGACATTCTATGCATGTTTTCCGCACTAAATTGGTTACAGGGGATAAGTTCACCATCAGAAATGATACCTTATGTTCTGAAGGATAATCTAACCCTGTACTATTCCCACATCAGTGACAGCACTTGCAGAATGTGCAAGTTAGGTTCTTCCTGGTGCAAATGTACTTCTAAAAAGTACACCTACCTACCTAGCCAGTGATGTATAATTTGGGGGGGAAAGTATAATTAGATGTAACGGAGCACACACACTTTAAGCAGGCAACTTTGCCACAGTTTCTTTTTTATTTTTGCTGTTGTAAATGATGAAGGATCTGAACAACATAATCATTCAGATTTTGTTATTAGGTCCTACTCAAGTGTCTGGTTATCTGTCTTCCTGAGAGGCCCATAATTATTATTAAACAGGGAGTACAAGAATGGCTATGAGTTTCCAGTACTATAGTCAAGAGTAAATACAAAAAGAGCAAGAGAGAAAGACCCCAAGGTGCCTCACATCTTTTATTGCACCAAGATCTTAGGGCAGAGCTAAGTATTACGTTTCACAGAGCTGTTCTTTGGCTAAGACCACCTGAAAAAGTTCTTATCCACCAAGAAAAGGTTGGTCTTATAAAAGATACATTTCCATTTCATTTTTTTTTAAAGAAAAAACTGAAATAAACTACTTAACTGTTGAGGAAAGAAGCAACCAAGCTTCAACTATCAAAAGGAAAATCAAAGAGCACAAAACTGGTATAACAATGTTGAACAGCAGTGCAAGGAGGTGCTGTTAGGAACGGAAGCAAGTGATACCTGTATCTACTGGAACACAGAGCCAGCCATTGGCAGACTACAGAAACCAGGACACTGCACAAAGTTAAAAATCCATCAGTGAACAAGGCTTTACTGACAATTTTCCATACATTTAAAAAATAAGAACACAGCAGACAGTGTCACATATTAAAAACAAATAAAGTGGGATTTGTTAAAATGGTATTAAAAGTAATTAGAAACTAAGAAAATTGTAGGATTTTGTTGGAGAACTTTTGGGGCCCCACTCAAATAATTGGCTGTAAAAGTAACCAGGCGGTGTGAGACACAAATAAACATGAAATCAGAGCGAGGAAAGAGAAGAGACTGAGAGTAAATACTAGGCAGTATCTTTGACTATCACTATCACCATATGTTCTTCTTCTAGCTTTCCCAATGTCCTTAGTGCGGACTGGAGGTACTGCTGGGAGAATTCACAGGGAGGAAAAGCATAAAGCATGCCCGTGCTGTCTTTGCCCTTTGCCCCTCCCACAGGAAGGCTGATTACCCCAGCAGCCTGTTTCTGTTTCAAGTAAGAGACCAGATTCCTGAGAAGCCTCCTTTGCAAGCCAGGCTCCACCATAGGGAAGGCCCCTTCAGTGCCTGCTCCTTGAGCAGCCTGGGTAGCCAGCAGCACAGCATAGCCATTCGGACTTCCTTGCTTGATACGTCGAGTTACTTCATCCAGTTTGGGCTGGTCAAGCCGAAGCCGCTGAGCAATCTTGAGCTGTGTAAGCTTTCCCCCAGACAAGTGGTCTTTCAGAAGCCCATTGATGACCCCCAAGTCCCCTTCCAAGATGTGCATAGATGTCGGGAAGCAGCTGTTTTTCAGGACAAGTAGCCCATTCCAGGCAAGCTGCAGTGTATGGGCATAATCTGACAAGCTTTTTAACTTCTTGGTTTCAGGTTTGGACTCTTCTTGAGTCTTCAACTCAGACTCACCAGTTCGATGATTGCGTTCACTGTCCCTTTTTTTTGGCTGAGGAGGATCAGATGTTTCACGATGAGGTTTCTCCTCCGATGCATGCCGGTTGTTTGGGAGGGAGTTTTTCTGCTCCTTCTCTGTGGGGGACTCAGTGGCGTGGTTCTCCTTCCGAGTCAAATCTGGGCTGCGATCTACAGCTGCCCCACCAGGCTTTACCCTGCCCCTGTCCTCATATGGGGAATGAGAAGTCCTCCCACGGTCATTGGAAAGGCTACGACGTTTACGCCTGTCCTCCCAAGGCTTGAGTGCACTGCGGTCACCATCGCTGCCCCAACGTTCTCCACTCCGGCTGCGTACTGACCGAGTATATGTCTCCAAATTATTTCTGCGCTCTGCATTTTTGACAGGACTGGCCCAATCTGCCTCTAGGAAGCTCCTTTCCCTGTCTGAATAAAGGAGATGAGGAGGAGTCCTGTCTCTCACCCTTAAGTCTTGCTCTAGACTCCTGTGTCTGCTGTAGCTTTCAGGTAGCAACTCATAGTGTACAGGCAGGGGCGCAGGTTGGTACTGCTGAGGATAGCGCGTCTCCTCAGCTTTGGCAAAATCCACCCGGAGTCTTCTGTCTGGCCCACCCAAAGGAAAGCCCCTCATCTGTGCACAGGCAGCCTGGGCTGCATCCAAGCTTTCATACTGTATATATGCAAAACTGTCACCCTTCACATAGTCAATAGTCCTAATGCTACCAAAACGATCAAATTCCCTAGCAAGGGCAGCTAGCGAAGTACTTGGACCAAGGCCACCTACCCATAGTCTGGTAGTGGGGTTGGCTTTCCCATAGCCAATTTTGATAGGGTTCCTGCCAATAACCCGGCCAGACATGGCAACCTTGGCCCGGTGGGCCATGTCCAAGTTCTGGAACTTGAGGAAGGCATAGGCTCCACCTTGGCCTCGTGCAGGCCGCTTGATTACCACCTCCTCAATGATACCATATTTCTCAAAGGCACGTCTCAGTTCCACCTCAGAGACGTTATGGTCGAGATTGCCAATGAAGAGATTCCGAGTCGCTCTCTGATCATCTTCTGGCATGAGATCCTCCTCTGCTACCAGGGGGTAGCTATAGGGGCGTCCACGCTCATCATAGAGCCCATAGTAATCCAGCACCCTCTCCCGCTCCCGTGAGAGCCCCAAGGCCACGGCTTCCAAGGCAAACGCTGCAGCAGCCGCTTGAGCATGCCGGGGCCGAGGCTCCCGCAGCAAAGGGCTAGCCACCGGCGACAGGGATCTCTGCTTGTAGGGATAAATACCGTGGATGTGGGGCAGAAACGCCAGCGGTTCAGGGGCTGGGGCTGGCGGGGGCGTGCGGCTTCGTCGGCCCCCTCGCAGGTACACCGGCTCCACCTTGAGGGGGCGATCAAAAAGGAGAAGCTGCCGGGCTCGGGCATGCCGCCGGGCATCTCGGGCATCCGCCGGGTGTCTGAAGTTCACGTAAGCGACCCGGCCCAGATCCGGCGTGTGGGAGAGTTTGACGCTAATGTCACTGGCACCGCCGCTGGCAAATCGCTGGAACTGACGGAAGAGGCCATCTTCCAGCAGCTGGTCGGGCAGGGCTGGGCTCAGGCCGCTCACCAGCAGGGTCTTGTACTCGC